CCTATAAAAACCATGCATCTGCAGGACGACTTTCAACGGGACAGGCTGTCCCCTCCAACCAAGGGCATTGGCTTTTCCTTCAGAGAGGAAGCAAGTGCAAAAGGCTGTGAAAGTTTGGGTGAGACCTCTGGCCAAGAAGCAGGTGATCTCCATAAAGATGGCGACATTTACACTTGTATGCCATGTAACTTTGAGACCCAGGACCTAAATCTTTTCCTTGATCACGTCTACAGCGGGCACCCAGATTTCCGCATTGACCCCCGCTTTCTTTGTGTGGATTGCGGGATAAGTGCTGCAAAATTTGAGGGCTTAGCTCTGCACAATGCCCGTGTCCATCCCAGTACCATAACCACCACACTTCAGCTCAAAAAGAAGGACGGCAGGATTATTGTAGAGCAGAGTCTTTGCGTGGAACCATGTGAAAGCACTAGCTCTAAAGAGACTGAGATATCCATCACCAAGACACCAATTATGAAAATGCTGAAGGGTAAATCAGAACTCAAAAGGATTGTTGTTTCCCACCCTGCCTCTGATGACCCTCCGCCCTCTCTTACTAAAGCGGTGGGCAAAAATGACTCTCCTGCGGTTACAGTCACCCATGTGCCCACTATTGTTCACAGTGGAACAGCCAGCAAAGTTTCCATGCCATCAGCCATACAGATTGTCAATGGCTCTGGGGCTTTACCCATGCTGAAGACGGCTGTTACGCAAGTTGTGTCTGTTGTGCAGAACACAAGTCTCATCCAACACTCTGCTTCAGTCTCCTTATCCCACTCCCCTTCACCAAGTTCTAAGAATCTTCCAAAAGTGATGATCCCTCTCAGCAGCATTCCTACTTATAATGCATCCATGGACAATAGCAGTTTCTTAAAGACATCCTTTAGCAAGTTCCCTTATCCAACCAAGGCTGAGCTTTGCTACCTTACTGTAGTCACCAGGTATCCTGAGGAGCAGATCAAGATTTGGTTCACAGCACAGAGGCTAAAGCAAGGAATCAGCTGGTCTCCTGAGGAAATAGAAGATGCCCGCCGAAAAATGTTCAACACGATCATACAAGCAGCGCCTTCCAATGGCCAGCAGCAACGTCAGACCCATCCCACTGCTCCTCAGCCAACTATCACAGTTCTGGGCACAACGGCCATCCCTCATATCTTACAAGGTAGCCTGGTTGGGCAAGGAGGGGTGATTGTCACCCAACCGATGATGGCTAATGGGATTCAGGTCAGCAGAGCCCCTGTCGCACTAGCGGTCACACCCAAACATCAGGCGGCTGCGAAGCCTATGATGCAGGCTAGGCCCGCTGCAGCCCTGGTGGCTGATAAAGGAATCAGCATGGTTTTAGGCACTGTTGGTAGCAGTAGTAGTGGAAATTGCAGTAGTAGCAGCAGTGCTAGTGTTAGCAGCAGTTCAAGCAGTATTAGTAGTACCAGCAGCTTATGTAGCCAGGCTAGTGTAATCAGTGTTGGTGGCGGTAGCACTGCAAAGTCAAATAGCAACAGTAACGTTAAGGTCAATACAGCAGGTACTAATGGCACTTGCGTTCAAAGCAATAGTAATATTGTGAAAAGTGAGGGTAAAGGTAATTCTGAGGCTAAAAGCAACATTAACAGCAAGAGCAATAATTCATCTGCCTGTACCACTCCAACCCCTACCTTGGGATCTACAACTACAACAGATAGCACAATACCAAGTAAATCAGACTCCCCATGTCCTATCTCTATGAACTCTCGTATGTTCTCCTCCTCTAACTTCCTGGATCCCAGCTTTAACAAAACCAAAAAGTCCCAGGGACAGCTGGCAGCCCTGAAGGAGAGCTTCCTTGTTAGCCAGTTTCCCAATCAAGAGGAAGTAGACAGACTTATAAGCCTAACTGGTCTGTCTGTGCGTGAGGTACGGAAATGGTTCAGTGACCGCCGCTATCACTTCAGGAATCTCAAGGGTTCAAGGTCAAGTGGTGGTGGTCAAACTGTTACAGCTAGTGGAGGCATTCCCCAACTCGATACACTTGCTGGTGTAGACCTGTCCGAAAACGGTACACCTCCAGAGAGGCCCAGAACTCCCCAGCAGTCCCCTCTCAGCCCCTCACAGACACCATCACCGCCAACTCCCTCACGGCGTCCTCCACGACCCCCGTCGCCAGATTTCACCGCTATACGGTACAAAGAGCGAGAGCCTCACCAGGTTCGTGCTTTGGAAGCCAGCTTTGCACAGGACCCAGATCCACCCAGTGAAGAAGTTGACCGGTTAAGAGCAGAAACGAAGATGACTCGCCGTGAGATCCATGGTTGGTTTGCCGAGCGGCGAAGGAGAGTAGCAGCAGAGAAGAAGAAAGAGGAAGCTGAGAAGGTGGAAAAGGAAGATGACGATGTTGTGGGAGAGGAAGAGGTGGATGGAATACTGAAGGACAAAACTAGCAACGAGGAGATGCATGAAGCTGAGGATTCCTCCATAGAAACACAAGAAGTCAAAGAGGAGAAACGGAGGGATGAGACCGGCTCTGAGCCAAAAGTTAACCCTATCAAGATCAATCTCAAAATGCTGAAAGTTACTGAATCTAATGGAAAAGGTGAGCCTGAGGGAAGTCAACTGATTGACGCTAACAAGATGCCACAATCTAGCTCTCAGACTTCATCATACCGAGGGAAGAAAACGCCCGAACAGCTCCACCTGCTGAAGCAAGTCTTTGCACGCACCCACTGGCCCACTAGTCCCCAGTACAATGAACTCATAGCTAAAACGGGCCTACCACGACCAGAGGTGGTTCGTTGGTTTGGAGATTCCCGCTATGTCCTGAAGAACGGTCAGCTCAAGTGGCTTGAGAGTTACCAGACCATGGTTGATGAGGAAGACTTCCAGAAAGCCAACATTAGTGTCCTAAAGGAACATCTAGAAACACATGGTAAATTAGATGAGGCTCAGTTGGAGGAGATTGCCAAGTCAAGTGGGCTAGGCGAAGAGTCGATCCGGCGGTGGTTTGCGACTGCGAGTAAGACACCACTTTCATTGGAGGAAAGGAAGTCTGAGGACACAGGAACTGTGATAACTGGGTCATCATCTGCGACCCCAAATGAGGCTGCTGTAACATCGCCGAATCCAGACCAGGAAGACGTAAAGGTGGAGTCGTCAGAGAGCGGCCTGATCTCAAAGGATCAAACCACAAAGTCGACTATTGAAATCGCAACAAATACTACACAAGGTGATTCGTTTTCTCCCAACTTAGTAGTTTACATTGTAGTTTATTTGAGGATGGGTGAGTTAGAGGGATAAAAAGGATTTGGCCTTCAGATTAACCCTAAAACCGTATTCTGGACAAATGTGGGCAAAATAGTTTTGATTTATTTAAAAAAAATACTTCCCTTGATCTGAGCGGTACAAGACGTGGCTACTTTTCCTAAGTTTGCCTCCTGAACACACAATTTTTTTGGACTCAATTCTACAATGTTAAGTGGGTGAAAAAAAAACTCCTTAATCTTGTATTTGGGTCAAAAATGGGCATCCATAGAAATGAATGGGGAAAATTATAATTTAGAGCATTCTAAAATAAGCCAAAATAAGACATCAGGTGACAGCAAAGTCACTTCATCTTTAGGTTTTAGCTCTAAGAACTTATTGGAATGATATTTTAATGTAGTTAAAAAAATAAAACATAAAAATAAGCATAATTTACATAGAAAATATGGTACTTTTTGAAGTAAATAAATTCAAAAATACCCCCAAAATAAGAAAAAACACCATAAATGGATAGACAAAACTTTATCGAAGACAGTGATATAAGATTTATAATAAATAAAAATTAGAATCACACCTGAGGCCTCTGTGCCCACATTTGTCCACACTTACAGGATTAAGGGCTATAAAGTGAATACAGTTTGAGGGCTACAGTCATTCTTGTGTTTAATACTTGTCTGTTGTTTTTTTGCAGATTCTGACTGAAGAGGAGAGTGGATGCATGAATGGATCGGATTACGGCACATGTGACCTTTTTTTTTTTTTTAAATGTCAGATGAAACTTTAACAGGAGCACTGGGGTAAATCTAAAAAAAAAAAAGACTTTCTTCTATAACGAACTTTTTCTTTTTCACGCAAGAGTTACACGCTGTCCCACTGTTCAAGACATGGTGTGGATTATTGAAGGTCAGGATACACCCCTTCTTCACCAGCTGCTTTTTCTATTTGAATAGACTAGAGGGGAAAACAGACCTCGGCTTCGTGAAGTGGGACACCCAAGTGTTTCCTTCTACGTCTTCTGGAGAGGAATTGGCATTTTTATGGAAACGGTGGTGTACGAAGCGTAAACTGCACAGCTCTCATTGAGCCCTTTTGTAATTCTTAAAATATGACTGATATAATTGCACCACAGAGGTTAAGTTGTGTGCTGTAGGTGAGCATCAACACCACAGCACTTTTTTTTTCTCCCTGGAATGTCATTGAAAGTAAAAGAAAACTGTAAAATCATTACAAAACAGATTCACCAGTGTGAACGCTTAGGGTTGTATGATTTTTACAAATATTATTTGCAGAATAAATTTAATAAAAAAATGGTCATGGATTTTCAGGTTTGGAAAAAGAAATCACCTTTTCATTGTTGAATAAGTACTTTATTCTCAGGCTTGATTATGTTTCATATGAAAAGCAAAATTAAAATGTATATTTCCTCCAATATAGCATAGGCACATTACAGAACAGGCTTGGTTTGTAAATAAAAACATCGGTAACAAAACACTGACGCAAGAAAGCATAAAAAAAGGCATACATGTTCAACAGCGGAGCTTTCGTTGATGTATATATGTATACACACACCAAGGCACATGAAAGATGATGCAAGGGATTCACAGAAACTCATTTACACACTGGAGAAGGAAAGGGACTTAACACTAAAAACTAAATGAGGCAATGTTGGCAAATTAGGAATAAATGCAGATAAATGCAGGCCTTTTCTTTTCAAAGCTCAGGATTTGATTTCAGCTCCTGTGTCTTTCCGTAATTTTTCTAGATTGAAAAATGGCCGTACGCTAATCACAGATACAGGAATTTAGCCAGTTACTCATCCCTTCAAGTTAAAATGCCCCTCTTCTCCAATCTTCAACGTAATCAACATGTCTGCAAATGCCCAATCAGGGGAACATACAATATTGTTACAACACAACTTTGGGAGTAAACTTCTGGAGCATCTTTTAGACTCTGATGCACAGAACCAAATAAATACTGTGACAAAAGTGCCATAACTTTACAGCCACAAGGCAAAAATTTCTAAAACAAAGCACAAGTTTGCCTTGCTCCATAAAAAAAACACACCTGGATCCCATGGTCAAATGGAGAGCCAGGTCACGCATCACAAAGGCTTCTGTAATGGACTACATGGCATGTGTATGTGTGCCGATCAGTAACATCTCAACCTCTACTGGCTAAACAAGAGAACTGCATGAGACTGTTATCAGAGCAACAATAAATATGGCCTTTTTACTGTACATCAACTGTAAATACTGAGGTTTAGCAGTCTTAGCCTGTTTATTAATAAATGTTAGGGCAATACTATGGCATAATGCAAAAGTAAATGAGTGCTTGGCACAAGGTATACATCAGAAGAGGGAATGGTCAACAATGCCCTTGCTCTTATCCACAGTAGGGGAGGAAAAACAAAACGAAAAAAAAAAAAAACATTTATATCCCAAAAATCGAGTTCTACTAACCACGTGAGCCGAGACAAACGTATTTGGTCCCAATTTCTTGTATACACCACCTGCACAGTCTAGCTTTGGCTTTCTTCATACAGGCACCATGACTAAAGGTACTAAATCATACATAACATTTCCTCCCTATTTGATCTGATAAGAAAACACATAATAAAAGCCTTCAGGACATTTCAATAGGTAAAACGTGGAGGGAGAGCACATGATAAATCACAGAAATCATTCTAGAGGGATAAAATGTTCTGAAATGAGATGGTCCGACAGGTTCAGACTGGAAATACGTAAAACAAGGAGAGTGATATTGCTCTCCGCTCACTTGACGACGCCATTTCAAAATAAAATAAAGGCCGTTCTTGAGTTAAATGTTTAAGAACGTCTTCCTGAAGCTCAGATGGCGACGACTTTCAATGAGATCTGCCTTCTGCCCACTTAAAACACAAGAACACGAGCATCCCGGGACACTCCAGTCCATCAAGAGGGAAGAGAAAGCGTGAGAAACGCAATTAAAAAGGCAAAGCCCTCATGTTAGAAACATACTCGTATAGAAAAGAAAATCTTGAATGTTTAAAACAGACGTTTAAATAATACAAATAATCGATCTGAAATGAAATAAAAAATGTGGAGTGAGAGCTCTTTGAGAGCAGATCAGCTGCAGACAGCAAAATGGGGCGCGCACACACACATTTATATATTTATATATAAGCCAGAGACAGAGTAAGCAAAAGTATTATTACTCCATAAATGTTAACCTGGAATCGGTTTGAAAGTGATGAATGATACAGCCCCCACTGAGTCCTGAACCCCTGGCCCAAACGCCACGTGTCCCGGAGGCGGAGCACCCCGTCCCCTGCGCCGCAGGTTCAGATCGTAGCGAAGCAGATATTTGTTCATTTCTGTCCGTTCAGGCCCCTCCGCCACTCGCGCGGCCCCGAGCGGGAGAGGGAGATCCATCCAAAAACGCTGGCGATGACGATTTCCACAGAAACGGGTTTTTACGGCAGTCCTTGACATCATCGGCTCGCGTCGCTGGCCTTGCGTCTGCGCTGTCCATCCGTCGCGCGCTCAGCCGGACCTTCACGCGCGGTTGTCGGCGCTGACGCGAGCCCTGCGGAGCCTGCGCGGGAAGACGCATTACACTTATGATCAGCAGCACTAATATTGGGTCCACACACACTCAGACAGGAAGAGGCCAGAGTAAACCAAAAGTGGTCGTTTTTGAGAAATCTTGGTCACATATTTTATTTTAAAGAGTTCACTTTTGAAAAACTATTGCTGATAATTTAATCCAAGATGTCCATGTCTTTCTTTCCTCAGTCGAAAAGAAATGGTTTTTGATGAAAACATTCCAGGATTTTTCTCCATATAATGGACTTCAATGGGGACCAAACGGTTCAAGGTCCAAATGAGAGTTTCAGTGCAAACTGTTCAAAGGGCTTTAAATGATTCCAGACGATGAATAAGGATCTTATCAAGTGAAACGATCACTCATTTAATAAATAAATAACAGTTTTTAGAAGCTCAAACGCTCACCTTGATCTGTTGCGTGATGCGCGTTCGTGACTCTCCTGTTTGAACTCGTTCATCAAAATGAACGAATCTTTTTTCGTGTCATTTGGTTGATTCAATGAACGAATTGACTCGAGAAAAGAGAAAAAAAACAGAAAAGAAGACGAGTTCGAACAGGAGAGTCACGATCGCGCATCACAGAACAGAGCAAGGCGACCATTTGAGCTTATAAAACTTAAACTTCGTTATTTTTTTTAACAAAGCTAAAAAAAAATAATTTTTTATTTTTTTTAAAAGATCGTTTTCGCTAGATAAGACCCTTATTCATCGTCTGGTGTCGTTTAAATCCCTTTGAAGCTGCACTGAAACTCATTTGGACCTTGAACCGTTTGGTTCCCATTGAAGTCCAATATATGGAGAAAAATCCTGGAATGTTTTCATCAAAAACCTTAATTTCTTTTCGACTGAAGAAAGAAAGACATGGACATCTTGGATGACATGGGGGTGAGTAAATTATCAGCAAAAGTTTTTTTAAAAGTGAACTACTCCTTTAAGTTGTCATTGTTACAGTGTAATTATATATTTAAGTACTGAGTAATATTAATTAACTACACATCCTCATTATAGGTTTAGGGTAGGATGTGGTTGAGGGTTAGTTGCATGTAATTATGCATAATTTACAGTTATTACTATAGTAAGTACATGTAACACTTTATTTTACATTGTCCTTATGAAATATGCTACAACTTTAATGTGCTGGTCTAGAGACGACATATTTAGGTCGAAACCTAGAAACGAGTTGCATTTTAGCTCTTCTGGGTCTTTGGTTAAATCCTTGACATAAGGTCTGTGGTGAACACAAGCTCTGGATATTTTAAGGTCCTTTCACACAGAGCGTGACGTGATTGACCGAGAACACATTTTTTCCTTATGTTTGCATTTCTTAGGTTTTCCTCGTCCGTTGCACACGTCACACTCAAACTTGCAGGGAAAATGTTTTGGAATATGTTGGAAGCTTAATGATGGTGACGCTGAAGTCATGTGACCATGGTCTTTTATAGCATATGTTTAGCTTTTGACAATTGTATTTATGCTTCATAATTCGTTCATAAATAATAATAAGATATTGTAGACCTGCCGCACTCTATTATGTACTCTAATAACGCTGATATCAGATTCATCTGCATCAAACGTCATGTGATGTGGGCGTTTTTGGCCACGATGTGCTGCAAAGTGGACCAGCTCATGGATATTCACCACAACTACATTATTCATCATCTTAAAGTCAACATGACATGAAAATGTTAAATGCATGTCATTGATCTTATCTTGAATAATGCATTCATGCAAGTTTAAAAAAAAAAAAAAAATGCCTCACAATTGATCAAAATGTCAAAACTCGATGTGTGAAACGTCAGACTTCTCTGTGGTGATGTATCCGAACACCAGAGAGCAATATTAATCTGTTAACCCGCCTATATTTTATAAACACAACGTATTTACAATTATTGCACTAATTTCACATATTTTTTCTTTCAATAATTCAAGCACTTCAAGTACCATTTCATATATAGGTGTTTGAAGGGTTTTCCAGGACTTAAAGGGTTAGTTCACCCAAAAATGAAAATTCTGTCAGTATTTACTCACCCTCATGTTGTTCCAAACCTCTATGTGTTTATTTGTTCTGCTGAACTCAAAGGAAGATATTTGGAAGAATGTTTTAATCAAACAGATCTCATTCCCCATTGACTACCACAGTATATGGTAGTCAATGGGGAATGAGATCTATATGATTACCAAATATCTTCCTTTGTGTTCAGCAGAACAAATAAACACATAGAGGTTTGGAACAACACGAGGGTGAGTAAATACTGACAGAATTGTCATTTTTGGGTGAACTAACCCTTTAAAAAGCACTTTTGAAGCTCTACTTACTTTAAGCACCTGGCATGAACCCTGTCTGTGCGCTTCATGGCGACTACACGCTCTGTGACAATTCAACATGTTTTTCAAAAGCAGGCGAACACACCTCCTGTTGTCATGGTCCAACAGCGCCTCCTGGGACACTCTGAAGTCATCCAGAGGGGACTGGTAGCGGGCCTCAAACGAGCCCTCCCGAGCGCGATACCCCAGGGCCTGCCCCGGAGACGAGGGCAGAGGGGACATGGAGGAGGTGGAGGACACGGAGCTGGTGTCGCCGGTGCGCTCGCGGCCCGCCTGCAGAGTCACGCCGATCGCCCCCGCGGTCGAGAACGGGCTCAGCAACTCCCCGTTCTCATGCTGGAGGGGAAAGAGATCGCCATTACAACACGCCACATTCACTCAGCCTACCGAACGAGGATCCTGAGGTGCGCTTCTACATACGATGATCTCATAGCCCACCCTTCCTCTGGCGACGTCCATGTGCACCAGCAGGGACGCCAACTCCAGGTCCTCACTGTAGCTGTTCTTCAGCGGCACCGACCGGTAGCCTGTTGGGTTTACATTACAGGACACACTCATTTCAGGGTGTCCGATCCTGCTCCGGACTTAAAGGGATAGCTCACCCAAAAATTTTAATTAGCCCATGATTTACTCTCCCTCAAGCCATCCGAGGTGGACATGACATTCTTCTCTCAGACGAACACAATCAGAGTTATATTAAAACTGTCCTGGCTCTTACAAGCTTTATAATTGCATAGTCCATAAAAGTGCATGTACCCATGATGAAAGTGCTCTGGTGGGTTAATAAAGGGCAACTTACGCAACTAGCGTAGTGCATCATGGCGTAGCGTAAATAATCAGCAGATCGTCGCATTATTTGCCCTTTAGACTTGAAGGATAACTCAATGTGTTTATTCACCAACACCATAGGTTCAATTTGTCTGAAATCGAATATAAAGAGTTTTATCTCTAAAAACTGTTTAGCGTATAACGCTAGTATATAGGGCAAAGAGTAATGAAAATAAAAATCGCTAGTTAACACCAATAACAAGGCTCAAAATAGCCCAACACTGACACAGTAGTATAATGAGGGTCCCTACATTGAGAACGCTTCAGTTTAATATAAAGTCTTCTTCCTTTATCATGTGAACAGTTCGTTTAATAAGAAGATACTTTATAAAAACAGTCCACTTCACGTAAACGGGCAGGAGCCATCTTTGGATGAACGGTCATTCGGTACCAATGTGTTATTACGCCATGCGCCGGAGTTGTACTTTAAAGGAGTAGTTCACTTTTAAAAAAAACTTTTGCTGATAATTTACTCACCCCCATGTCATCCAAGATGTCTACGTCTTTCTTCAGTCGAAAAGAAATTAAGGTTTTTGATGAAAACATTCCAGGATTTTTCTCCATATAATGGACTTCAATGGGAACCAAACGGTTCAAGGTTGAAATGAGAGTTTCAGTACAAACTGTTCAAAGGGCTTTAAACGATTCCAGACGATGAATAAGGGTCTTATCAAGCGAAACGATCGCTCATTTAATAAACAAACAAAGTTTAAGTTTTATAAGCTCAAATGCTCGCCTTGCTCTGTTCTGTGATGTGCGTTCGTGACTCTCCTGTTCGAACTCATTCATCAAAATGAATGAATCTTTTTCAGAGTCAATTTGTTTATTTCATTTGTTGAATCAACCAAATGTCTCGAAAAAACATTTGCTCATTTTGAGTTCGAACAGGAGAGTTAGAATCGTTTAAAGCCGTTTGAACAGTTTGCACTGAAACTCTCATTTGGACCTTGAACCGTTTGGTTCCCATTGAAGTCCATTATATGGAGAAAAATCCATATTAAAATTAATTTCTTTTCGACTGGAGAAAGAAAGACATCTTGGATGACGTGGGGGTGAATAAATTATCAGCAAAAGTTTTTTTTTTAAGTGAACTACTCCTTTAAGGTCAATCCGTACGTTCGTTTGGCCAGTTATCTAGTTATTTTACTGTATAAAGTATGGATATTTTTCGTACTTTTTAAATATAACTCTGTGTTCGTCTGAAAGAAGAATGTCATATACACCGAGGATGGCTTGAGGGAGAGTACTTTTCATTTTAGGGTGAACTCTCCCTTCGAGGTGATGACCCTAAAGCCCTGGATCAGCTGATTCAGGCGAGATCAGGATCGGGGCTAAATTATGCAGGACAGCGGACCTCCGGGAGCTGGACTGGACACCAGGGTAACGTTTTTGATTTGGGAGCCATACCTGTTTTGAGGCAGTTGATGGGGAACGTTGCCTGGGCAAGAAAGTTCTGGTCATTGAACATGTCGATTTCATAGACCACGAAGCGCAGGAATGCAAAAGAAGGGTTGCAGACGGTGAACCGGAAGGGTTTCCTGGGCCAGGTGGGGTTCAGACCGTTGTCCGCTGAGAGTAACACAGGATAATGTTTATGTACAGATGAACTCTCTCACCACTACACCGTTTGTTCATGTCCAGCTCACCTTCAGAGTCAGTCCTCTGCTTGGCGTTGTCGTATTCTGCTCCACAAACCTCAATCTCGATGAGAGGGCACACGATGCCTCGGCCGTGTTTGGGCAGGTGGCGTGCTCCCAACACCTTAACACACACAAAAGCTCAGTTTCCTTCATTGGCAACTCATATTTCAGCACTTTCAACTAGAGTTGTTAAAAAGACCGACTTGTGTGTTGATAACAGCATTTCCCTCTAGGATTTTGAGCACTGTTTAACAGGTTCTCAGACACCTCTGATTGGTGTGTGAACACAATGGCCAATCAGAGACATACATGTTGAGCGCCTCAACGCAATGGCCGATCAGAGGTGTTTAATAATCCGCTCAAAATGCTAGAGGGAAATGCTGGTATCTAAACATGATGACACTGTGTGAAAGTAATGGAAATAAGATCCCCTGGCCACATTTGCACGGCCACTTCTAAAGATGCAGTTGTAGGGTGTATCACAACAGGAAAGTCCGCTAGTTCACTTGCTTTGGTCCGGACCAAATACAATGTTGATTTTTGTTTGTTTGGTGTGGTTCGCTTTCACACTGCCCTTTTTTCAAGTGAGCCAAAATTTGTACACAAAACCACACGTGTGCTAAGCTCATCCAAAAATGCACCTTAAACGAACCGTACGAGTGTTCGCTTGGAGCCGGACCGAGACCACCTCTCCAGCTGGGTCTCGATCCGGTTCGAGTGCGATTGCTGCATTCATTCATACCTGCCCAAAAGAACCGGAACGAACTTGAGTTCGATTCAATCGAACCAAACAAAACAGGTGTGAATATGCTAGGGTTGGGTATCGGTTGGGTTTTTACTTCAGAAAATGAAACCGCACACACTTTGTCAAAAAATAATACCCTTTTATTTACAGGGCCAAACTGGACACAATATTAACTTGTATCTTTAAACAATATAAATACAAGTAACATATGGTAATAATAAATAAACCAATATAAAATAAAAATTCACATTTACGTAATATCAAATAAAACAATGTAATAATACTGGAGATTAAAGGGTCATGAAACCTCCCTCTTTCAGCTCAAGTCTAGCTCAAAATCTTTTTGAAAAATGCAACTGAAATGGGCGTGGCTAGGTGTGAGAAGAAGGGAGGGAGTGGGTGTGGTATGGCCATCACGTCAATGTCCCATGCATATCGACTGTCACTAAAAAGCAATGGTAAAACGTGAGGGAATGCTAGATTTTTATATATAACTGGCAAAGTTAAAGTCTTATGAAGTACACTGACACTTTATTATTGTCCTTTCAAAAGTAACTGAATGTCCTGCTACATTAGCCTACAGTAATCGTAATTCTATTTAAAACATATTAATGTAGGCTACATGTATAATTATAATGTTATTATAAAATATATAGTTACGGAAGCCCTGAACCGCAACCTAAAAAAAAAAAAATCAGTAAAAAAAAAAAAAAAAATCTAGCATTTCGAGATTAAAGTCGAAATGTTTCGAGATTAAAGTCGAAATGTTTCGAGATTAAAGTCAAAATGTTTAGAGATTAAAGTCGAATGTTTCGAGATTAAAGTCGAAATGTTTCGAGATTAAAGTCGAAACATTGTGCATTCATAACAGTGCGCGTCCACTGGCTCAGAGCGCGCGCGTGTGTGTGTGTGAAGTCGAACTGCCATGGATAAACACAAAATAGTAGCTTTTTACTTTTATCTGGGCTTTCAACAAAATTCTACACACGTCACACGTGCTAGTGGCAGTGTTTCTGAGGTGTTTTCGTGCTCGTCTAGTCAACACTATGGGTCGAGAACACAACAGTAACTGTTCGGTCTCCCTCTTCAACGTAAATACGCTCTGAATACATTTTAAGTGCATCATTCTGTATCCAATCATTTGGCCGGATCCTGTGATTTCCTAAGATTTAATAACCACTTATGGTTGAGGAGAGATTCTCTGATATGATTGTAAAGCACTTTGAGTGTAGGCATATATGAAAGCGCTATATAAATGCCCTATTCATTCATTCATTCATTCATTCATTCATTCATTATTCATAAAGCTGGATTTCTCCATCCAGTCTGAAAAGTGTTTTCCGTGTTCCTATAGGCTGAAGTCTATTCCGGCGCATTATATTTTATAACGATAAAGTAAGATAAGTAATTCAGATAAAAGTAAAAAGCTACTATTTTGTGTTTATCCATGGCAGTTCGACTTCACGCGCACACGAGCGCGCTCTGAGCCAGTGGACGCGCACTGTTATGAATGCACAATGTTTCGACTTTAATCTCGAAACATTTCGACTTTAATCTCGAAACATTCCGACTTTAATCTCGAAACATTCCGACTTTAATCTCGAAACATTTCGACTTTAATCTCGAAATGCTAGATTTTTTTTACAGATTTTTTTTTTTACAGATTTTTTTTTTTTACTGACTTTTTTTTTTTTTAGGTTGCGGTTCAGGGCTTCCGTATATAGTGGTTTATATAGACACTATAAATACATTTCAGAAAAAAAATATTAATTTTCCGCTTTACAAAATCATTCCGTGTATAGTATACGTGCCCTCTGAACCCTCGTAATAAAGATGGCTCTGCGGAGGTGGATGAATTCTCATTTTAGACACACACACACACACACACACACACCTCTGAAGGGATTGAAAGTCCTCGGGATACCGCATCACTCGCAAGACACACTTGGATTAGTTGTCAACAAGGCGAAGTCCATCATTCTCCACTTCTCTCGAGAAAATGTTCGCGGCACACACTATAGTTTAGATCATCTTTAGACGTGTCCGTGTTTGATGGCGAATCAACCGTCCAGAGCCAGAGTCTAGCCCTGGCAATATCGCGGGGAACATATTCAACGCACTTGGACTTCGCACCATGAAAATAAATACTTGCGTCCCATGATTGCCTCTCTCATCTACTACGCGATAGTTTAACATGTCTGTCGTTGGAAAGATCATGAATAATTAAGAGCCGTGTCTTCTCATTGGATAAGAAAACTAAGTCTCATTAATAACTATGAGACAAAGATGAGTCATCTACGCACTACGCATGGCCACGTCACCCGCTACGATGAAGATTTTAAACCCGGTAGACGAAAAAAGCGGAAAAAAAACTCGAATTTAACCATTTTAACCTTATTATTAAATCTAACAGATGCTAACATCGTCTTCAATGGTGTTCAACACACATACCTCTGTTATAATCTCAGAAAATTTGGTTTGGGGTTTCATGTAGTGCTGTAGCGGCGCATCGATGACGTCGAAATTTCGTCGACGTCATATTTTTGCGTCGACGCTTCTTTATTTATTTATTTTTTGCATGTTCCCGGCGGTGCAGCTTGCCACACACACGTGGGAGACCGAAACATTGCAGAATAGAGGACGAAAACAAGTGAATGTGCTATCCATTAAATGAATCACACACAGTAAACAAAAAAAAACTTCGCAATTTAGACGCGCAAACTGGGTGCCGGTGTGGTGAGACGTACAAGCTCGGGCAGATACGGCTTGAAGTGGTTCCCGGACGCGGCGCCGGGCGCGCTGTGACAAAAAAAAGGCGTACACACAGCCAGCCACAGTCTTCCTGGTCTTGCGCACCTAACGGGTCATTTTTGCCGTGCGCACATTCGCGCTCGTGCGGACGTGTCGAGTATAAACAAGGCTTTACTCCGTGTCAGCACGCGCTCTGATCAGTAGGTGAACTCCGCCTCCGACTCCGTTTCCCTCCTCAGCTGATATTAATATTTAAACATTCTCTATGATAAAAAAATTTTTGTAAAAAATATTTTAATGACACGGTTTTGGCGGTTGTAGAGTTATGATGGTGTTCAAATACATAACATTAGACTAACGTTAGCCAGCTTATAGTATCTTGATTCAGTATGCTAGTATTTATTTGAGAGATTGTTTTTTTATTAATTGAGCAGCAGAAAAAATATTCTTTATATTAGTCGTCCAATTAGTCATTAGATTAGTTGACTAATCGATAAAATAATCGCCCAACTAATCGTTTAGTTAATCGTTTACCCCAGCCCTAGTTTCATGACCCTTTAATAGAGATTACTACCAGGGTAATCTAATATCGACATGCTGCAGGTTCCCATATTTTGTCTGTTTGAACCAGTCATGTAAGTTATCTGGTCCTTTACTAGTTAAGCTCTTAGCTTGGCGAGTTTGGCATTTCGTTTAAACATTCTGATTTGAGTAAACCTGTGAACGAGAACGTCTCTGGTTGCTGGTGTAACCCATGTTCTCTGAAGAGGCTGCGTTCGCCGCCAAACTCCTCGCGCTGCCGACAAGCTTCCTTTTTCGGCTGAGAAATCTGAGGAGCAGATGATGCGCGCGCTAATATAATATGATGACGTGAGCGTCAAGGCGGCGCGAATCGTGATTCTATATGGGCAATCGTTCTGATGCGTCATTTTTAAGTCTGTAGTCAACCAAAGAAATCCTTAGTCGACCAAAGTCTTGTCCTGTGCAACGATTAAGCGTTTCGTCAGAACCGGTTCCCTATTGGCACCGAGTTTCGGTACCCAACCCTAGAATACGCCCTCAGTCTGTCCTAGCGTTGGGATCAAGCGGCAACATTCTAATCTGAAAGATGAAGCCTACCCAGAAGTGCGAAAAACTGCAATACATCTCAAATCCGCTAGAGGGCGGTCCCAAAAGGGAGCAAATATCCATAGACATCATGTTAAAATCTCCGTTTTCACAGCATAAATTCATATGTTTACAGTTTGGTCCCAGTAGGCCTGGGTAATAAATATCGATTTCTCGATATTAATCGATTCTCATTTTTACGAACCGATATCGATTCTTAAATCTCAAGAATCGATTAGTCATCCTGTTTCATTTGAATGAATGGGACATTGTTTCGCGGCTGCGCGCATCCAAAAAAAAAAAAAAATCGCAATAATCTTTGTCCTTTGTTACTATTGATATGAAACAAAGTCTCAATTTTCAAATTACGCCCATTTTCTTTAGAAATTAAAAAACATAAATAGCGTTTTGGCGCTGTGGCGTGAGATCGCTCTGGAGAAGCAGCAGCGCTGATCTCTCTTCCGGCTTAATAATACCAGTCACAGCGCCAAATAAACATGAACGAGTGTCTGAAAGTGTGTTAAAGATAGAGTACAACTTATCGAAATCCGTATTGTGTCACATTGATTCGCTCAATCAGCGTTTCAACCGTGGAAAGATGTCAGTTAAACAGCTTGTAATCAATGTCATGTATCGTCATATTTACCTCAGAAAACCCACATAAACTCGTTAGTCAGCTAGAAAAAATAACTCTAGAGAGGAGCATTTTGCTAAATATATACACCATATTACATATGCATTATAATCTTAATGTTCTTCAATATTGAATGCATATTTGAATAAATCTGGCAAGTTTTTATGACAGCCACCATTTAAATGTTTATATTTCATATAATCTTCTTATTAAAAAATAAATAAAAGTGTAATTTAAGTGGTTGTATGGCTACAAAGTTCATTATTACCTTCATATTAGGCTAATGAAGCCTATTGGCTACAACTAGACTCCCATAGTTTACAGCATTAGTTCAGAGATTTGATTCCCTTGAGAAAAATGGCCATTTATTGTATCTGATATCCAAAATAATCGATATTGAGTCGAATCGAATTGTAATCGAAATCGAATTGCAAGCTTGTGAATCGAAATCGAATCGAAATTTGTCTCAATACCCAGCCCTAGGTCCCATGGACTTTTATTGTAATCTTCAAAATGTTCCGCGTGCCTGACGACTGTGAGGGGGGTGAATTTTTTTTCTAACTCGTTAGTTTAGATCATATTTAGATATAAAATGTATGACAAATAAGGGCGGTTAACTTTGATTGACAGCTGATAACGGGCTGCGCCGAGTGAATTTGACGTCTCGGCCATGATCTGACACAACACATCATACCACCTCTGTATCCTTTCTGAAACTTTTGTATTTTGTATTTCCCAAGATTTTCCAGTATGGCGCCGCCCATACCCCCCATAAACAGATCAAACCCGTTCTTCAGAGAGTCTGTGGGTGACGTCACAGACGCTTTTTTCTATATTTTTTACAGTCTATGGTTGGGATGCGTTAGTACCTCGATGCTCAGCGTGATCGGCTCCACCGCTCTCAGAGAGTGCCGGTCAAAGGGATCAAAGACGTCGTCCCTCATGATGGGCGGCTGCAGCACATACCCGCTCCTGCCGTTCAGCATGAAGAGAGCCTGGTTCATCTGCATCGGCTTATCTGCAGAGAGACGGTCACACGGTTAGCCGACGGGACGCCGTGCGAGACGGGCTGAGCGCGGGGCCCTGCACGCACCTGCGGTCTGGAAGTTGAGGGCCACCAGCTGACTGCCGCACAGCCACATGGGCAGCGGGTCGTAGTTGGAGGAGTCCAGGCGCTGGCCGCGCGGGTAAATGCGGGACAGCTGGAGGCGATTATACTGCAGGAACTTCTTCCCCTTGACGCGGTTCACGTACTTCTCCGCTTTGGTCTCGGGAAACGAGGACATGTCCCGGAAGCAGGCCCGCTCCGTCCCGATTTCTGCAGGAGACAGAAGGTTAACGTTGAGGAGTATATTTAAAGGAGTAGTTCACTTTTAAAAAAAACTTTTGCTGATAATTTACTCACCCCCATGTCATCCAAGATGTCCATGTCTTTCTTTCTTCATTTGAAAAGAAATTAAGGTTTTTGATGAAAACATTCCAGGATTTTCTCTATATAATGGACTTCAATGGGAACCAAACGGTTCAAGGTCCAAAAGACAGTTTCAGTGCAAACTGTTCAAAGGGCTTTAAACGATTCCAGACGATGAATAAGGGTCTTATCAAGCGAAACGATCGCTCATTTAATAAATAAATAACAAAGTTTAAGTTTTATAAGCTCAAATGGTCGCATTGCTCTGTTCTGTGATGAGCGTTCGTGACTCTCCTGTTCAAACTCGATCATCAAAATGAACGAATCGTTTTTGAGTCATTTGGTTGATTCAACGAACAAAACGAATGAATTGACTCAAAAAAAGATTTGTTGATTTTAATGAACGAGTTTGAACAGGAGAGTCACGAACACGCGTCACAGAACAGAGCAAGGCGAGCATTTGAGCTTATAAAACTTGAACTTTGTTATTTATTTATTAAATGAGCGATCGTTTCACTAGATAAGACCCTTATTCATCGTCTGGAATCATTTAAAGCACTTTGAAGCTGCACTGAAACTCATTTGGACCTTGAACCGTTTGGTTCCCATTGAAGTCCATTATATGGAGAAAAATCCTGGAATGTTTTCATCAAAAACCTTAATTTCTTTTCGACTGAAGAAAGAAAGACGTGGACATCTTGGATGACATGGGGGCGAGTAAATTATCAGCAAAAGTTTTTTCAGCATTTTCCAATGCAATCTATTATTATAGTTTAATAAGCCTGAGCTGGACATCACATTTCCACAAAACATCATAGAGTTTGAGTGTGAAGAGTGTCTCACTGTCTTCATCGAAGGGAACCGGGCGGCAGTAGATGACCAGGTCCGACAGCTCTAGAGCGATCTTCTTCCTCCTCTCCATCATTTTACCCTCCTCAATCTGAAGCAGAACAAACACCCGTTACTCACGTCAAACGCTCACACACAGTCTGTGGGAAAAGCAGCACAATCACTCTTCCAGATAAACTCTGCCCACACGGGTTTCAAGCTCAAGTTTGTTCTAAGATAGCGGAGAGATTTAGTGACAGGTGTTCACGGTCAGTTCCTGTACGGGAGATAAGCGCTGACCTTGGCTTCAGAGGTCACGGTGACCTCGCGGATCTTCCCCAGCCAGTCCTTCAGCTCCTCCTGCGAGCTCGCGGCGATGTCCAGCACTGGGCTGGTGCGGGGCGAAGACGTGGAGACCAGAGAGAACACGAACTGCCTGCTGCCCTTCCCTTCGGTTTTCACCACTACACACACACACGTGAGACAGCCCTTTACTCCTGCAATCTACACATTCCTGTGTGAAACTGGCAACTCGACGAGAGGGAAAGTGAACATTCAGTAGTGAACTATTCAAAGTAGGTGCATTTATTTTGATCAGAGATTATGAACACAAATATTCTCTCTCTGTGGAATAACACGTACTGTTGATCCCTGTGCAATATGACCAGGAAACATAATAATCACTGCAATAATGATCCAATCACGGACTCTTAAAGGGATACTCCACTTTTTTTGGAAATAGGCTGATTTTACAACTCCCCCAGAGTTAAACAGTTGCGTTTTACCGTTATTGAATCCATTCAGCCGATCTCTGGTTCTGGCGGTACCACTTTTAGCATAGCTTAGCATACATCATTGAAGTGGACAGAACCATTAGTAGGCCTGGGTAATAAATATAGATTTCTCGATATTAATCGATTTTCATTTTTACGAATCGATATCGATTCTTAAATCTCAAGAATCGATTAGTCATCCTGTTTCATTTGAATGAATGGGACATTGTTTCGCGGCTGCGCGCATCCAAAAAAAAAAAAAAATCGCAATAATCTTTGTCCTTTGTTACTATTGATATGAAACAAAGTCTCAATTTTCAAATTACACCCATTTTCTTTAGAAATTCAAAAACTTAAATAGTGTTTTGGCGCTGTGGCGTGAGATCGCTCTGGAGAAGCAGCAGCGCTGATCTCTCTTCCGGCTTAATAATACCAGTCACAGCGCCAAATAAACATGAATGAGCGTCTGAAAGTGTGTTAAAGATAGAGTACAACTTTCGAAATCCGTATCGTGTCACATTGATTCGCTCAATCAGCGTTTCAACCGTGGAAAGACGTCAGTTAAACAGCTTGTAATCAATGTCATGTATCGTCATATTTACCTCAGAAAACCCACATAAACTCGTTAGTCAGCTAGAAAAAATAACTCCAGAGAGGAGCATTTTGCTAAATATATACACCATATTACATATGCATTATAATCTTAATGTTCTTCAATATTGAATGCATATTTGAATAAATCTGGCAAGCTTTTATGACAGCCACCATTTAAATGTTTATATTTCATATAATCTTCTTCTAAATAAATATAAGTGTAATTTAAATGTTTGTATAGCTACAAAACAGTTCATTATTATTTTCATATTAGGATAATGAAGCCTATTGGCTACAACTAGACTCCCATAAGAGATATAATTTCCTTGAGAAAAATTGCCATTTATTGTAACTAGGGTTGGGTATCATTTGAATTTGAACGATTCTGATTCCGATTCCTTGTTTCGATTCCGGATCCTAACGATTCTCGATTCCGATTCTTTTAAGAGGCAGGGTCAAAAAAGTTTAGCTAACCTTGCCAACCAACGGCCTTTCTGAAGGAAATAATCCTTTCTGAAGGAAATACTCCTTCTGTAAAAATACTCCTTCTGTCACAAATTTTGCATTTTGCCGAGATTTCGTTATTTTTAGAAAAGTGAAGCCACACTTTGGATCGCCGACGTAAGCTACTCATGTTCGACTCGCATGATTATGCCAACACTTCCGGTAGACGCTTCTTCGTTGGTGTCGTTCAGCGGTTTCTTCTTCCGCTCGGCGGACTGTGAATATCGAAACTAGGAATCGAAATTTTAACTTTTGAACGATTCCGGGAAAAACGAAAAGTTAGTCTCGCTTCCAATCGATGCTCGATTCTCGATACCCAACCCTAATTGTAACTGATATCCAAAATAATCAACATTGAATCGAAATCGAATCGAATTGCAAGCTCGTGAATTGAAATCGAATCGAATTGTGAAATGAGTCAATACCCAGCCTTAACCATTAGCATTTCTCAAAAAAAAAAATGTCCAAAGAGTTTCGATATTTTTCCTATTTAAAACTTGACTCTTCTGTAGTTACATCGTGCACTAAGACCGACCGAAAATGTAAAGTTGTGAATTTCTAGGCTGATATGGCTAGGAACTATACTCTCATTGCTGCGTAATAATTAAGACACTTTACCGCTGTACCATGAGTGCAGCAGGCGCAATGATCTGACGCAGCGCCTGAAAATGGGCTACCTTCCATCAACATAAATACACAAACTTAATCCCGGTCACGTTGGAAGTTACCGAGCTGGGGACTATTTTCAGGCGAAATGTGATGTATGAAAATATAATATTAAATATTATAGCTAAAAAGCTAACCAATCATGACTGTTCTTTGTAAGTGATCTGACGATGAGTGTGTATCAGGGAAGAGGAACACACATAAACACACTCACCGATCTGACAGGAAGACACGTCCACACTTCCTCTCAGGAGATCACCCAGAGGACTGTTCTCTGTGGCCTGAGAGAGAGAGAGAGAGAGTGTGTGAGTGAGAGAGTTAGTGTGTGTGTGAGAGAGAGAGAGAGAGAGAGAGAGAGAGAAAGAAAGAGAGAGAGAGAGAGAGAGATTAAAGAAAGAGGTTAAAAGTTGTAGCACAGAGCGGCGTGAGGAAACACAACACACACACACACACACTGACGGAGCACAGACTCACGGATCGGTCGGGCTCCACGGCCGACGGGCTGATCTCCTCCACGTAGTTGGCCGGGAACCACAGCTGCTTCTTGCCAGCGCAGTCTCCCTTCCACCTGTGAGGAACACACACACACACACACACTTATGTTCTGGTTCCAAACCAACACTGAAAGAGAAGAGTGGCCAAGCAGGCTTAATAAACACACACATTAGGAAACAGGAGAAATCGGCTCCGGCAGGGAAACAAGGCTAGTCTGATATTAACGTTTTAGAAACTTAAACAGCGCACGACATCAATATCAATGTAAAAACACTTTATACACTGCTGTGTGGTTCCTGTGAAGCCAAGCGCAAACTTCAAAACTCAAATTTTTCAAGTATAAAGACATTCATTTTGTTTTATTAGTTTCTTACACTGCGTTTCTCTAAACTTTTCACTGCAATACAGTTTGAAAATGGTTTTGAAGTTCATAAACTTATTGTGTAGCTTCTGAACAAACTAAAAAAGACAAGGAAAGATGAAAAGATCAGGTAATATATACGTTTATAAATATACATCTGTTTTTCTGCAGTTGAATTGTCGTCTGTGTTGAGACGGTAACTCACCAGCCTCCTTCCTGTTTGTCCACATTTTGAATGATGGCGTTCTTATTAAAGGAAAGTTCATCATCTCGCTGGGCTTTGTATTCATACATGGCTCGTACTGTGCACTACACACACACACACACACACACAAAGGTGTCACACACTAAACCCAGCAGAGGAGAAACACTGTCTACATGCAGCTAGAGCGCACAGGTACCTTAAACGTAGGCATCTGATTGGCTTCCACGTAGAATCCAGGGTTACGGCCCTCGTACAGCGAGCCATAATCAGGCTCCTGCTCCACACACACACACAGAGAGAGAGAGAGCACGTTCAAATAAACGGTAAAACTGACATCCTTGCAAATTATGGAACAGCAGTTCCCATGAAAGACTGTAAAGGAATTTCTTATTTTCTAACTTAAGAACATTATTTTTTAGAAAAACAGAATATTTCTACAACAGCACATGACACTAGCTACGTTTGAATGGGCACCTCTGGTGATTGGCCATGTGCTCACTGCAGGAAAACACAGCGTTCTCCACTGGTGTCGCTGTCCTGTGGCCTCATGGGACAGTAAAGTGGCCATCGCACGCACACTTCAGCATCTCACGCGGACGGGTCGGAAAGGGTTACAGACAGACTGACTTCTGACATTTTAGGACACCATTGGGTCGCCTAATGGAGTTTTAGGACACAATTGGGTCACCTGATGGAGTTTTAGGACACAATTGTGTCTCCTGATGGAGTTTTAGGACACAATTGTGTCTCCTGATGGAGTTTTAGGACACCATCGGGTCTCCTGATGGAGTTTTAGGACACCATTGGGTCGCCTGATGGAGTTTTAGGACACCATCGGGTCTCCTGATGGAGTTTTAGGACACCATTAGGTCTCCTGATGGAGTTTTAGGACACCATTGGGTCTCCTGATGGAGTTTTAGGACACCATTGGGTCACCTGATGGAGTTTTAGGACACAATTGTGTCACCTGATGGAGTTTTAGGACGCCATTGGGTCTCCTGATGGAGTTTTAGGACACCATTGGGTCGCCTGATGGAGTTTTAGGACACCATCGGGTCTCCTGATGGAGTTTTAGGACACCATTGGGTCTCCTGATGGAGTTTTAGGACACCATTGGGTCTCCTGATGGAGTTTTAGGACACCATTGGGTCTCCTGATGGAGTTTTAGGACACCATTGGGTCACCTGATGGAGTTTTAGGACACAATTGGGTCACCTGATGGAGTTTTAGGACACCATCGGGTCGCCTGATGGAGTTTTAGGACACCATCGGGTCTCCTGATGGAGTTTTAGGACACCATCGGGTCTCCTGATGGAGTTTTAGGACACCATCGGGTCTCCTGATGGAGTTTTAGGACACCATCGGGTCTCCTGATGGAGTTTTAGGACACCATCGGGTCTCCTGATGGAGTTTTAGGACACAATTGGGTCACCTGATGGAGTTTTAGGACACAATTGGGTCACCTGATGGAGTTTTAGGACACAATTGGGTCACCTGATGGAGTTTTAGGACACAATTGGGTCACCTGATGGAGTTTTAGGACACCATCGGGTCTCCTGATGGAGTTTTAGGACACCATCGGGTCTCCTGATGGAGTTTTAGGACACCATTGGGTCACCTGATGGAGTTTTAGGACACCACTGGGTCGCCTGATGGAGTTTTAGGACACCACTGGGTCGCCTGATGAAGTTTTAGGACACCACTGGGTCGCCTGATGAAGTTTTAGGACACCATTGGGTCACCTGATGGAGTTTTAGGACACCATCGGGTCTCCTGATGAAGTTTTAGGACACCATCGGGTCTCCTGATGGAGTTTTAGGACACCATCGGGTCTCCTGATGGAGTTTTAGGACACCATCGGGTCGCCTGATGGAGTTTTAGGACACCATCGGGTCTCCTGATGGAGATTTAGGACACCACTGGGTCGCCTGATGAAGTTTTAGGACACCACTGGGTCGCCTGATGAAGTTTTAGGACACCATTGGGTCACCTGATGGAGTTTTAGGACACCATCGGGTCTCCTGATGAAGTTTTAGGACACCATCGGGTCTCCTGATGGAGTTTTAGGACACCATCGGGTCTCCTGATGGAGTTTTAGGACACCATCGGGTCTCCTGATGAAGTTTTAGGACACCATCGGGTCTCCTGATGGAGTTTTAGGACACCATCGGGTCTCCTGATGGAGTTTTAGGACACCATCGGGTCTCCTGATGGAGTTTTAGGACACCATCGGGTCTCCTGATGAAGTTTTAGGACACCATCGGGTCTCCTGATGGAGTTTTAGGACACCATCGGGTCTCCTGATGGAGTTTTAGGACACCATCGGGTCTCCTGATGAAGTTTTAGGACACAATCGGGTCTCCTGATGGAGTTTTAGGACACCATCGGGTCTCCTGATGGAGTTTTAGGACACCATTGGGTCGCCTGATGGAGTTTTAGGACACCATTGGGTCGCCTGATGGAGTTTTTGGACACCATTGGGTCGCCTGATGGAGTTTCTGGGCACCATTGGGTCACCTGATGGAGTTTTAGGACACCATTGGGTCACCTGATGGAGTTTCTGGACATCATTGGGTCATCTGATGGAGTTTCAGGACACCATTGGGTCGGCTGATGGAGTTTTACGACACCATTAGCTCTCCTGATGGAGTTTTAGGACACCAGTGGGTCACCTGATAGAGTTTTAGGACACGATTGGGTCGGCTGATGGAGTTTTAGGACACCATTCAGTTTCAGGACACGATTGGGTCGGCTGATGGAGTTTTAGGACACCAGTGGGTCAACTGATGGAGTTTTAGGACACCAGTGGGTCACCTGATGGAGTTTTTCAGTTCCTTGCCACTGTTGCCTTTGGCTTGCTCAGTCGGGATATTCAAATTAATTAACCAGTAATCAGTATTAACTCCTGATCAGCTCTACCAAACGTGGATATTTTTCCACTAAGAAACGAACAGTGTTATCGTGTTTTGATTGATACTGTGAAGCTGCTTTGATGCAACCTATATTGTGAAAAGCACTATATAAAAATACTTCACTGAAATATGGCCTGTATAATATATACAGTACGCTCTCAGACAACACCAACTTCAGTCATTTTATTCCTAAGAAAAGTTCTTCAGATTGAACTAATAAAAATGTGTGTATGTAATGTCAAAACACAAGAAAGTCACAGTACAACATGAAGATAAAAATACATTAATTTAAGGTAAACTTTGGTTCTAAGCAGAGATTAGATGAGATGACACACTCACCGCAGTGCCGATCTTCTCCAGTGTTTCCTCGTTGATGGGGTAGCGCAGCTTCATCTTGCGGTACAGTGGATGTTTCTCATAGTAATTGATCAAATCTACAAGACTATCAAACTCAGAAGTGCCCAAGACCACCGTCTGTCCCTCCTGCTGCACACGGCAGTGCTTTATCTTGCCCTCCGCCCTGAGAGATCAAGCGAGAGATGAGGAGAACTCCAGACACAGGGACGTGATAGAAACATGACGGCGGGAGAGTGGATCTTACCGGAAGGAAATGGCGAAAGAGTTGACTTCTGTTCTCTTCCTGACGAGGAAAGCCCCGTCACGCGGGACTCTCATCAGCATGTTCTCGGCCTGGCTGCGGGACAGGCACGCGTGGTACCACCTGCACACAAAACACACACAGGCTGGAATTAGACGGGGAAAACACAAGACAGGAAACAAACCCCCGCTCCACATCCACTGTGGTTTTTCCCTGCGAGACGAGAGGCAGGATGACATTACATGTACTTACCGTAGTAATAACAGTAAATTAATTACATAACTAACCCTCAACCTCATCCTACCCTAACCCAGAGTAATTAATATGACTCCATAATTACATTTATAATTACACCGTAACAATGACACCTTATAATAAAGTGTGTTTAGGTGTCATTGCATGCATTTAGATAATTAAACTAGTGTTGTCACGGTACCAAAATTTCAGTATTCGGTACCAATACCAGTAAAAGTTCACGGTTCTCGGTACCAATTTCGGTACCAAAGCTTAGTTTAAATTTACATATATTTAAGTGTTTATCACGTTTACAAGTATGGAAACTGTACATTTGTATTATAAACACTTTAGAAAAAAATTAGATAAAATGACCTAAAATAAACAATAGTATACTAACACATTTTTAAAGTTGTTTGTAAAGTTCTAATCCGTTTACATTTATTTAATGCACAATGAATAAAGTGAACAAACATGAACAATCAAGTGTTTCTATTAAATAACATTTACAAACATTAATTAATGTTGTAAAAATATATTGTTCACTCCATGTGTTGATGTGAAGTAGCTAATGTTGATAAATGGTATCTTATTGTAGCATTACCAAACTATAGGCTACAGGAGAAAAAACATGTTTTATTTGATTTGACTGTACTTTTATTTAATCTAAAACCGCATTCACATTTAATTTTGAAAAGGCTTTTTTAAACTGCTGAGTTATAAAGGCAAGAATATGCCTAGAACTGGCACTGACATTAAATGACATAAATAGGGATGCATCGATACTAATACCAGTACTCTGGTGTCGGTTGGATAATACTACTGTGCCCATGTACTCGTAAAACTACCCCGAAAGCACTTTAGAGGCCGTTCACATATCGCGCGTGTTTTTTTATTATATTTTTGCGCGTGCTTATTCTTTCCAAAGCGCTTGCTCTCACGCGGCGTCTGTCGTTGCTATGCAACGAGTTTTTATTATGAGCGCGCTTGCCTCGCGCCTATATTTGAAATTGCGAATTTGCATGTAATCGGCCTCTTATGGCAACGTGACATTAGCCTAATCCAAAATATTTCATATGTGGCTCTTTCCTCCTTTCGTGTCAACAAGTGGATTCAGAGAGAGAGAGAGCCATATCAGCGTTATGAAGAGGACGCGACTGTGCACCTTTCAGACAGCGCGTCTAGAACTGGATTAACCTGGTATTCGGTACCTAGAAAAGCTGGTACCGTAACATTTTTTTTTTTTTAGTACCGACTTGGTACCGAAGTACCGAGTTTTTTGACAACACTAAATTAAACATATTACGCCAAAATCCATTTATTTTTACACCATTTAACTTATTTATTGGCCATTGTAACGTAGTTGGCCATGCATATAAATAATTATCCATCAATAAAACTTCTTGTCTTCCTTTTTCTCTCTCCAATTATCGTTTCGGCCCATACTCGAAGCAGATATTATCATACTTTGCTGCTTATTCTTTGATAATTTCTCTTATTTCAAAAAGTTTACTAGAAATAGTACACCGTTACTATAGTACACCGTTATCCATTCTCAGAACTGTACATCATAACATCATTGTAGGTTGTCCAGTAGTGCCGTAAACCAGCTCAATCTCTTCCATCTCAGATAGGGGTATTACTTTATTTTATTTTATTTTTACTCTTAACTGTTTTTATTTATATTGATTTTTTTAATTCAAATGTAAAGCACTTTGAATTTCCATTGTGTATGAAATGTGCTATATAAATAAACTTGCCTTGCCTTGCCTAGGTCACAAATGAAATAATATTTTGTGATCACACTCACTAAAACTCACATCATTATTCTTAGGCCGTGTGTCCACCAAAGCGTTTTTCCACGCGCCTGGCGTATGTTTTCAATTGTTTTCAATGGGAGCGCCGCGTTTTTTAAACGCCATGAGCGTACCGAGGCGCTGAGCATTTTTTTTCACGCTGAAGTGCCCAGCGTTTTTTACTGGTCGCTGGGAGTTGAAAAATGTTCAACTTTGGATAAAACGCAGCGCTCATCACTGTCACTTTTTACCCAGCCGTCCAATCACAGTGGAGGAGGGGCGGGACTAATATCACACCGACCAACTGTCACAACATTCAACTGCTGCGGATATTCTGTATTGTAGCAACGAAACGTCTCGACGGAAAAAACGCTGCGCTGCCAAAACGCTCTCAAGCGCCCAAAGCACGGCGTCTTCAGCAGAGCGTCTAGCGTTTTCAGCTGGCTAAAAACGCTTTGGTGGACACACGGCCTTAAAGTGACAGTTCAGCTTTTTCATCAATATTATTAATATTATACTGTATATATATTTAATGTTATATTTAATATTTATATATAAACAATTTGAATGTTAGCCAGAGGAGAACTCGCTTGCTTAGTCGGGGTTATTTAATATTTAACAATATTATTGATCTGTGTTGTACTACTTTCATGTTATCACTGTGAAGCTGCTTTGATACAATCTGTATTGTGAAAAGCGCTATATAAATAAATGTGACTTGACTTGACTTAATCCATATCATGGCAGTCAATGAGGTCCATCAACTGATTGTTTATCTGTTGTGCTCAGCATAAGAAAGAAGTTCAAACAGGTTTGGAAAATTTGATGACAGTGGTGTGATTCCCCAGTTGAGAGGTGTGTGTGTGTGTGGGACTCACTCTTTGCTCTCGTGAGCGTTGGTTTGTGGCACAGGCTCGGTCAGCTTCATCTCGAACTCGTTGCAGCGCAGAGGAACCTGCTGGTAATGTGTGATGAGCGCAAACAGCGTGTCGAACACCAGGTTATCCGTCAGGTAGAACTTGGGGCTGCCGGCTTCCTGGCGGGAGTGAATCCTGCAGTGCTGAACGCGGCCGGACCGCCTGAGGAACGGGGTAGGGCAACAGAAACCGTTACTATACAGCCGTTTTTGCTTCCAAATGAACGATGTGTGAGCCGCTCCTCTGAGCACGCCGAGGCACGGCTGTGGTTACCAGAAGGAGAGCGTGTAGTCTCCCACGAAGGTCTCGCTCTCGCGCACCAGGAAGGAGCCGTCGGGCGCGCCGGTCTCCAAGCAATACTCCGCCAGCAGACGCTCCGCGATCTGACGCCCGTCACGTCCCGCTCCCAGCTTACCGTGGAACCACTTCTCCGTTACGTGCTGGTCCATGCCGTTACTGACCTGGAGAACAGTACCAATGCTTTTCTTTTACCGGGAATCACGTGTGGGTGATGATGTATAAAGGCCAATTTATACTTCTGCGTAGGGTGCGCGCGGTAGGTACGGCGTAGCATACGCACAGACGTGTCCCATATCGAGTACCCTTCGCCGTAGCCTGACGCGCACCTCCTCAAAAATGTAACTACACGTCACGACGACGCGGACCGCAAGATCGGTGATTGGTCGGCTTGGTAGCATCGCATTTCCTCCTGCGTATTCCCGCACGTACCTTCTCACGCATTTCTACACGTACCATCTCCGACGTCTTCTCTCATTTCTGCCTTTCAGTTTTAGTAATTTCATTAAAATTAACTGTTTTTCCACCTCATTACAGGGTTAGTTCACCCAAAAATGAAAATTCTGTCAGTATTTACTCACCCTCATGTTGTTCCAACCCCGTAAGACCTTCGTTCATCTTCGGAACACAAATTAAGATATTTAAGATATTAAGATCGGTCCTTCATACTAGTCCATAGGCTTCTTGAGGGAATGACAATTGATGGCCTCGAAAAGTCATTAAAGACATCGTTAAAATAGTCCAAGTGACTACAGGGGCTCAATCTTAAGTTTATCAAACGACGAGAGCACTTTTGTGCGCAAAAACAAACAAAAATAACGACTTTATTTCAACTATTCACTTCCTTCTCCATGAGCCTGTAGTCAGTTAACGTAGTGTGATTGCGTAGAGCTACGTCACACGTAGGCTCACTATTGGCCGACGCTGGTCATGTGTGTGTGATGCGTGTGACGTACAATAACAGAAGCTTACGCTATTAAACTAGTAACCTGACTCGCGCAGAGGGAGAAATAAACGAACAGTTGAAATAAAGTCGTTATTGTTGTTGTTTTTTTGCGCACGAAAGTGTTCTCGTCGTTTGATAAACTTAAGATTGAGCCCCTGTAGTCACTTGGACTATTTTAACGATGTCCTTTAATGACTTTTCGAGGCCATCAAGTGTCATTCCCTCAAGAAGCCTATGGACTAGTATGCAGGAGCGATCTTAATATCTTAAATATCTTAATTTGTGTTCCGAAGATGAACGAAGGTCTTACGGGGTTGGAACAACATGAGGGTGAGTAAATACTGACAGAATTTTCATTTTTGGGTGAATTAACCCTTTAATCTCCAACTCCAACATGATCCGCTCTCTTTACGCAGAAGTATAAATGCTCACAACGGCGTCGCCTACGTGCGTAGCCAACGGTGTACACTACGGCGTACCCGACACAGAAATATACATTGGCCTTCACGGTAATGGTGTTCCCTAGGGCTGCCACTTTTGTGAAAAAATGCTGTTCGATTTTTGACACAAAAGTAAAATCGATTTTCCATGTCTAAAGACGGTTCCATTTTCAACACCAAATATAGGCAAATCCACGGACACCAAACAGGCATTAGGACGGGCGTAAAGAGGGCGCTTGAGTCAGCAATATTCCTGATGATTTATTGGCGTAAATTTCAACATGGACAAACAGGAGCACAACATTCACGGATTGAAATTAATGACCTAGAACTTAAAATGAACTTTGGCGGAAAACGCTGTCAAATCACAAGCCAATCCGGTGTGTTTCTATAGCCCCTTTCACACAGAGATTCCGGAAAATACACGGATAGTGGGACCCGGCACTTGTCTCAGGATTGTTTGATTTTGGTTAATTCACACTGCCAGTGATTCGCCGGGATCTGCGAGTGCGTTCACACACAACCCGTAAAGATCCCGGAAAGACACATGACGTCAGGATGTGACGTGTAAGGTACGCGTAGAAAACAAGTACGCGTGCATACCGTTACACAAAGCTGGTGAACGATCTCGGCTTTCTTCTAAGAGCAACAGAGTCGCGCGATGGCACGAGCGTCATCATTATGACACACCCCTTACGGCATTGGTCCTGGCTTTTGTTCACACAGCGCACGTTCCGGGACTGATTCCGGCAACGTTACTAGGTCCCCAACCGGCATCGATGCCGGTATCAATCCCGGGTCGTGTTTGCGTTCACACAGAAGGCGTTCTGGCAATTTCCCAGAATCAACGCGCAGTGTGAAAGGGGCTTATGTTTACTCACTTTGCCGGGGAAGTTCGTGTAAGCCAAATCTGTGCGGAATTAGCACAAATTATTTGACATTTTTATTAAAGAGGAATAGCCCCTTGAGATGAGCCATCTCGTTTTCGAGGGGGTCCTCGATTCTAGATTCAAATAAAAAAAACTGACCTTACAGCAGCTTGAATTTAACATAACAAATAGCAAAAGCCAAAAAACAAAAAACAAAAACAAATACACAAGAAAAAAAAAAAAAAAAAGCTATGAAAAAATTATAAAAATTTTTTTTTTTAAATTATACGCAATTCGCAAATCCTCATGATATATTACATACAGCGTTTTGCAGAATCTGCGCATTTCTGGCTTACTTGAACACACACGTCAGCACACAACAAGTAACGGCGCACTTGTTCACTTGCATTGAAGTAATAACGAATATTAAAAAGCATTTGGTGAACAGAAAAGACTTTGTTATTTTCCAACTGTCCAACTAAAAACACATTTTTGATATAAAAAAACGCAGTTAAAATCGATTGCCTATTTTCATTTTCGAAACTTGTGTTGGTCGGTCCGATCGATTGTGCAATCGAGTTTCGAACGTAAAGCGACAGCGCCCCCTTCACATGTAAAGTGATTTGACTGTTGAGAAAAGCGCTATATAAATGTAACAACTTATTTTAATTTTTTTTATTACTATTAATATTAATGGTTTAAATGTCAACCAGTAGAGATTTTGGCCAACCATCTCCATTGCGGTTTCACACACTCATTTGCATGCTTATAATTTGCATGGGATCTTAAAGGTTGTATCAGCGATTTCAGGCCCAAACAAAAATGATCACGTTCATCTAATCTTTCCTAGCGATCCGCTAGCTGCTCGTCCCATAAGCAGGCTGTCAAAAAACACGTCTCTGTAGGCAGCCTAGGCTCTGAGATCTGCACAAAAACAACCACCACTCAATATAAACAGTGTTCCAACCAATCGCCAACAGAGGGGGGTGTTGTTTGTTTTTACGCTCGTTCACGGCGGCAGAGACTATTTTTATGGAGACATGCCACTTCCTCAATCCTTAATACAACTATATAGGGAAAACCCGTAACACCAAAGATGCCCCTCCCGCTGGAAAGCCAATCGTCTGCTTTTAACAGTCAAGCTGGGAAACATGTAAGCCTATCGTCTGGTTCCACGGACGCATGCGCACAGTTAAGGTTTGCGACAGTGGAAAATATGTTACTGTTTGAAAAGGCGGCAGATTTACGTGTTAGTTGCGTAAATATCAGACATCGCAATTCTCCTGGAAGTTCCGGGAGTCTCCCGAATGTTGATCGCGGCTCCTTGACGACCACGAATTAGTTCAAATCTCCCGCGAGTGAGCGAGTACACGATAGACACATAACAACATTTGTAGCCATAACATTGTAACGTTACTATTAGCAATAACACTAGCCTACGTTCAGGACTAACGTTAGCAGAATAATAATAATAAGCTGTTATAATATTATTCCAGATAGCTTTTGTTACCATGAGTTTTCCCAATAATCTTAGATATGTAGCTATATGACTGATTCTGGTACGTTTTACGAGTGAGCTAACTTGGTTTGTTTGGGATCTCGCTTAGACCACAAATAGAAGTGATGTTACCCACAATCGCTGATACAACCTATAAGCATTGGAAAATCATAAAAAGCATTTAAAAACAAGTGATTTTGAACCCTTGACACTCAATAAGCAGCAAAAAAGCAAACCGTCTCCGCTATATAAGCTTGCGTTGGTTTCTGAGCGATGCTCGCGAATGAAAAGCGTGTGTGAGAACTGAACTGAGGGCTTTTTGCCGCCTAATGGTGCGTTCACACCAGACGCGTATAGCGCGTCTGGCGCGAATGATTTCAATGTTAAGTCAATGCAAAGACACGTTACGCGCAAAAAAATTCCTGCGGCGCGAATGAGGCGTGGAGCGCGGTGCAGAAGACGCGAATACGCCTCATTTGCGCGAATGGCGAGTTAGTGCCATCTGTGCATTCACGCGTTTGACGTGAATTCGCGTCTGCCGCCCGAGTTGAAAAATCTGAACTTTGGCGTTAATTCGCGCCGCGTTAACCAATCAGGAGCCTAGCTGCTTGCTCACGTGGTGAAGTATCTGGATGCTTCAATAAATTATTTTGTAATTCGATTAAAAGCGTGGTGGGATTATGCACAACAAAGCAAATATTTTATCACTTAAAACATTATTTCAATATCCGAGACATGTTCATTTTGTATTGAATGTTATTCATTTCATATCTAGATTATATGAAATAGTATTATGATGTAAAGACAATCAACATATATAAGCTCGTGTCTGGACGTGAGAGAGAAAATAAATAAATAAATAAATAAATCACAGGACAGGTTAATAACTTTTGGAAGCTGGCTCTATTTATCATCAAAACAAAAATAAAGAGCAAAAATAAGAGCATCCGCTCTTAAAGTGACAGCAGCCTAATATTCCTGTCATTAATGTTCATCAGACAATCAAAGAGAAAGACTTAAATCACTCACTGATTTTGACTGAATGACTTTAGTAACATTAATTAGAATAAATGTATATTTAATGTGCACTGTGTAAATTGCGTATATATAATTAACTACGTGTTAATTTTACATAAACTATACGTTTTTCGGATAGGCTAGTTTTATTGTGATATTGAGAATTATGAAATTTCAAATTATATCAAAAAAATGTATATTATAAAAACCTTATTTAAAGCAAAACAACTATATTGTGACATATATATCGTAGTTTATAGTGAAATAAAATGGCTAAGATTACGATTTTGGACATATCGCCCACCTCTAATGTGAACTGTGTGAAAGTGAGCGTGTTATTCTAGATCAAATTGACTACTTCTTAAAATAACAAATGGGAAACAATATAGCCTATTCATCAGCATTGAGGAAGCTACTTTGAAGTATTTTGAGCTATAAAAAGTCCCAGACAGAAACGTGGGGACTTTTTTTTTTTGGTCGGTAGTACAACAAGTACAACAAGTTTAATGATGGCTCAAAGCATCATCAAGTTGTGTTTCAAATGTACAACGTAGCTAAAAAAAGGTCATGACCTTGCTAATGTTGAGGGAAAGGTGATCACACTTTATTTCCAGTGTCTTTAAATATGTTGTACTTCCATCGAAACACTACAGGTATGTGACAGTCTAGTTATTTTTACAGCTATTTTGTGAAAATAAGTGCAATAAGTGTATTGCACCAAAATTATTAATTTAAATGTCATTATATAAATTATACACCTAATATAAAGTCTAAAGCTGTTAGAAAGAAAGCTCCATTTCTACCATAATGCCTTTTGAAGAGCAGACGAAGTACGATGCAACTTTCATAATAAACCATCTCGTACAGTAACGGCTCTATTAATAACCCTCTTCCGATCCGACAGTCAAAAGTCAAGCGTTTTGCGTCACCCGACAAATAAAAGTGAATTTCTCAGCCCAGGAAACTCAGTCCTAACCTTATCTCGAACCCTCATTGTTCATTTACATACCCTAACGACATTGTGGCAAAGTGAACCCTTTAAAGTGTTTACGACTGCGAGGATCCACAAGGAAAGCAGCTGTTGTCCTCACCTCTCTGTGCTCCTCCTCGTCCTCGTTCCCTTGATTACTTGACGTCTCCTCAGAATAATAGATCTTATTGCTGGTCAGGACGAAGAAGTGAGGGTACCACTCCTGTGAGGGCGACACCAGCGCACATTCATCATGAGATCATCAAGCCAACAGATTCACCTGTCCCGTAAGAGCGGAGCGAGAGGAGCTCACGTGGTTGATGGGGTCCTCCAGGTACAGGATGCCGTTCTTGATGGAGTTGCTGATGTCGTTCTCCGAGTACGGCGTCGAAGACGAGACCTCCTCGTACGCGCTTCCCTCGGCTAATTTCTTGTGCTGAACACAGATGCAACAGTTGAGAAAGTGGCCAAAAACACAATGGTTTCCTGCCACAGGACCGATGAGCCTCACCTTGATGAGGATCTTCCTCTTGAGCTGATTGGGCGAGGGCAGGCCGTCCGCGGAGATGTCCACGGCTTTGATCAGGAGCATGTCTCCAAACACTTTCCTGAAGTGGGCGGCCATGTTTCTCTGCTGGACAATACTGCAGTGGTCCTCGATGGAGAGGATGATGGGATAGCTGCATGCAAACACAAGCAACGCAATCTGATTATCTCACGCCGCACATTCTCGATGACCACATCTGATCACCACACGAGCGCAGACGTCATGTGACACTCACTCAGACGTGACGAAGGCATGCTCTTTGATGGTGTGAAGCACCTCGTTGAACTTGATCTTGGTGGTGAGCGTGTGGCCGTGGTAGATGACAGGCATCCCATCAGGACCGTCCCAGCAGTCCACTGCAACACACACACATTATAACTGCTGCCAGAAACACAACAACATGCCACAATCATAAAGCTTGCTATAGTAGTCGAGTCACCTTTATTTACAGAGCACTTTACACAATCCATATTGTTTTAAAACAACTTTATGGACAATAATGATTCAAACAGAGTTCAGTCCTGCTGTAAAGTAGCTCTCAAACACAATACTAAACATTATTCAGTTGAAATAATGACTATAAGTCTAATCTTATAGTTGTAGATATGATAAATATATTTCTAGTTTACAAAAGCAATGTTCACTGCTTTAAAAAAAGCAAATATGAAATATAATTTAATGTTATACAGTTTTACGTTAGTTTGACTTTATGGTAACACTTTAGAATAAGGTTCATTAGTTAACATTAGTAAATGCATTAACTAACATGAACTAACGATGAGCAATGCATTAGTTACAGTGTTTATTAATCTTTGTTAATGTTAGTTAATACAAATACAGCTGTTCATTGTGCGTTCATGTTAGTTCACAGTCCATTAACTTATGTTAACTCATACAACCTTTGATTTTAATAATGTATTAGTAAATGTTGGAATTAATATTAACTAAGATAAATAAATGCTGAAGAAGTATTTCTCACATATTGTACATGTTAACTAATGAACCTTATTGTAAAGTGTTACCCCCTTATTTTTATTAATTACGAATAAGGAACAAAAATAAAAAAATAAATAAACAAAGCAACCTAAAATAACATACAAATCCGTTTATTTTATGTTTGTTTATTTATTTATTTGTATCCCAGGGCACAGGAGGATGCTAAAACTGGAGTATAGTTAGTTATTTCATTATGCTAGTCTCCTATGGTTATAGTTTTAAAAGAAGTAATAGTTCAGATTAGACTAATTTCAGTAAATAAATCACTTCAGTAAAATCATTTCAGTAAAATAAATAAAAGCATCATTTAATTGTTATGGATTTCTGTGCTTTTTGTTTGTTTATCGCTATTGTGCGTGTCCAGTAAATCCAGAAAATGAAAATAAATAAATAAAATAAAAATCGGAACTTACCAACCAAAATAAAAAAAAATACATATTTCAGATTTGTTACTAACCTAGGACAATAAAATGGCAGAATATATATATATATATATATATATATATATATATTAGGGCTGTGCAAAAATTAATTGCGATTAATCGCATCCAAAATAAAAGTCTGTGTTTACATAATATATGTGGGTGCACTGTGTATAATTATTTTGTATATATAAATACACACACATGCATGTATATATTTAAGAAAATGTGTTATTCATATATAAAATATTGATATTTATATAATATAGATTATATATTCTTATATATATATATATAGAGAGAGAGAGAGAGAGAGAATTAAAGCGCAAATAATTCTTAAATATATACATGCATGCATAGTTATTTATACAAAATAATTATATACGCACACATAAATATATTATATAAACACAGACTTTTATTTTGGATGCGATTAATCGCAATTAATTTTTGCACAGCCCTAATATATATACAGTATATATATATATATATATATATATATATATAAATATACAGTATATATATATATATATATATATATATATATATTTAATATTATATATATTTATTATTTACCAGTTCAATAATATAAATGCATGTATAGTGTCATACTGTTGTAGCCTACTAGTTTACAACTGGGAGAAAGTATTTATGATATATTCTTCAATGCAACCACTGCAAAACTGTATTTTCAGCATGTTCGTTTCTGGAAAGGTAATATTTTAGAATGTATTTGTATATGAAGCGTTGATCATTGCTAATAATAGAGCTGCACTGTGACTTACACTCGATGCATCTGCAGCCCATCCGCAGACAGCGGGCGTACGCCTCCAGAGACGACTCGCTGGAAAACTGGTCTCCTGTCAGATAGCTAAAAATACACACACACACACACACACGTCAGACCTGTCTGCATTACTCCATACACACCTCACACGCCAGCATCAGCGACCCTTACGCTTAAACACTGCAGACAATGTACAAATACGTTCAAAAATTCTTTCCATTCTGTCAGTCTTTAAACCACATAATGGCTTTATAATCTAGCTATACCGGTTAAACACCATGAGAGAAACAAAGCGCAAACAGCTAAATACTAACATTTAAAATAAGTCCTGATTGACCCCGTCTGAAATATCAAATCATATAAATGATATAGTAATCTGTCCACTCGTCATCTGTCTTTTTTAGATTCAGCCGCTGATGTGAGACATGCGTTTCTATTCAAGGACAGGTTACTGACAGATACACAGTACACTTTCTCAGTCTTTGTTAAAGTAAGCAGTATATACACACACACATACACTGATAACTAGACTACTGTTTCGAATTTTAATTCTGTATAAAGTCACAATAACGAGAAAGTCACATTCACCTTTTTTTAATCTGAGGTGGAAAAGGGTTTCTACATTAATGTGATTTTCAACACATGAAATAAACTCTTAAGCAGTATCTGATTTGCTTATTGCAAAATCTTCCAAAAATCCTCTCATTAAAATAAACGATAAGCATAAAATAAATGAAAATCTTGAATCATCCAATGATAATCTACTTTTAATAGGTCAATATAATGATAGATTAACTAGAACAACTATATTGGCTAAAATCACTTGAGTCCTGTGGAAACCTCACTCCATAATGAAAGAGTTCAGAGCGCTAAGAGAAGAGATATTGTGTGTGTACAGTACATCTGATGTGGCGCATCTATTCAACATTTTACTGAGCCTTGTTCATCAGGGTTTCAAGTTCAAGTTGAAGTTGTGGTGTGTGTGCATGAGTTTCATTCAGTCCTTTACTCCAGTGATCTCATCTAACAGGCACCCATCAATGAGGACCACACCATCCACAACCACCAAAACACTCCAGAAAAATAGTCCTTTTACACAAAAGCACAGAATTTTATATTCAGATTAAGCATAATGGTAATATTGTGACATCTAAGAGAAAGTTGTAATGTGCTAATTAACTAACCAACCAACTACCTAACTAACTAACCAACCACCCAACTAACCAACCACCCAACTAAACAACCACCCAACTAGCCAAACACCCAACTAGCCAAACACCTACCTAACTAACCAACAGAGAAATAAACAAACTAAAACTAACTAAACATCCAACCAACCAACTAACTCTTTCCCCATTGAACATTTTGGTAATTTAGAGGGTGATTGAAACTATACTCTAACCAACCAACTGACCAAACCCTTTCCCATCATCTTACATTTTGGCTAATCAACCAACAAATCCTTACCGTATCATCTAACATTTTGTTTCTAACAACTAACCATCTATTATTATACCATTATCTAATTTTTTGATTCTTTGATGGAGAATCACACTACCCAACTAACTATTAGATGATGGGGGAAGGTTTGGTAGGTTAGTTACTAAGTTGGTTAGTTGTTAGAAACAAAAATGTTAGATGATGGAAAAAGGGTTGATGGAAAAAATTATTAATCAACCCTTTTCCCATCATCTAACATTTTGTAACTAACTAACTAACCAACCAACCAACCAACCAACCAACTCCAGGAGCAGGCCAGGACACCCCTGATCTAACAGGGTGTTTTGGTTCATCGAAGGGGATTCATTTTATGCACCAACTAAACAACCAACCAACCCTTTTACCATCATCTAACATTTTGTAACTAACTAACCAACTAACCTGATCTAACAGGGTGTTTTGGTTCATTGAAGCGGATTCATTTTATGCACCAACTAAACAACCAACCAACCAACCCTTTCCCCATCATCTAATTTGTTGATTCTATGATGGAGAATCACACTACCCAAATAACTATTAGATGATAGTTATCATCTAGGGTTAGGTTTGGTTGGTTAGTTACTTAGTTGGTTAGTTGTTAGAAACAAAATGTTAGATGATGGAAAAAGGGTTGATGGAAAAAATAACTAACCAACCAACCCGCTTTTCCCATTATTTTGTAACTAACTAACCAACTACTAACCAGCCAGCCAACTAACCAATCAACCAACCAACCAACTAACTAACTAACTAACTAACTAACTAAAGGAGCAGGCCAGGACAACTCTGATCTAACAGGGTGTTTTGGTTCATTGAAGCGCAGGGCTCGAGACTAACTCGAGAACATCTGAATTGTTTTAGTTAACTAACAGCTATGGATGATAGTAACAAAGTACAGAAACAACATTTTTATTTTGGGACGGTTGACCTTCACTTTAGGACGGTTCAAATTGTTTTTCAGGACGAATGTGAAAAAAGTTTGGAGCCCTGTTGAAGCGGATTCATTTTATGCACCCAACTAAACAACCAACCAATCCTTTCCCCATCACCTAACATTTTGGTTCTTTGAGTAGGATTATACAGTAACAAACTAACTATCTAACCAATGGATGAACTACAAAATAAAAATAGGAATGGACGTTATCTAGCGACCACTGGTTACTAGATACCCTTATAGAGAGAACATTAATAAACACACAGCCTCTTAAAAGTGTCGGTTTAATCAGAACTGTTCTCATACAGAAAATGTGCTTCGCCTATACTCACGTGTTGTGGGACGAGGAGATCCAGTAGTGGGACAGGGGGTTGTTCATGTCCTCTGGTCGCACCTGATCGAGCTGCGAGTCCCAGATAGTGTTCTCTTTAGAGAACAGATACGTGAGGAACTGAGAACCACAAGACAAGTTAACGTCAGCATGCTGAAACCGAGTGAGAGCTCTGCACTGCTGATGTAGACCTGAACAACAAACTACACAACCGCTTTAGCGCTCCAGTTTTCATCAACGAGTACAAAATACGACAAGCGATTCTTATCAGTGAAAGGAACAGGACCAGGAAATGCACTTTCCTATTTTTATTTACTACAAAAAGATGCTGAATTTATGTTTTACTTTGTAAACACCTTTATGATGTGTGGACAAAAAAATAGCTACTCCAATTATTTACTATTTATTTATTTTTATAAACATTTTCTTTCAATATTGGCTATATGCAAAGATTATAAATCACGTTATGAAATAATTCTTTAAACAAGATGACAACTTTTCAGGAAAGTTTAATACAAATAGAACAGGAAATTCATTAGCAACAAATTAAGCAAAGAAGAGGCGGATTAACATATCAAACAAGCAAATCTGAGGTCACATGATACTGCAGCGAAGCAGGAAGTGGTTATGTGGGTAAAGTGTGCGATTGCAACGCCACTGGTATGGGTTTGATTCCCTGGGAACGCACATGCTGAGTAAACGCACCTGTCACTTTGCAAAGAATGCGTTTGCCAGATTCATAAATGTCAATGTAAATGTCACCTCGTCTTGATGAAAGTACGGTTGCTCGATCTCCCGCAGAGGATCCTTCAGGTAGTGGAACATGAACTCCTGCACCTTGTTATTGTCTGTGGCCCAAAGCTCCTGAGGACACAAACACACACATTTATATGGAACGGTTATTACAAAACATCTTTAGTACAGATTCTCTTCCCTCAAAAACACACAAATATACATCCAATTAATGTGTAGATGCTGTGACGACTTGTTTGGTTCGAGCGATACATGAATAAACACATATCTAACCTTCTGATGTTCAATTAGGAAGTTCTGGAAGTCCTCCAGTGAGATCTTCTGTTCCGGTCTCTCAATAAACCTGTCAGAAACACACAGTGTTACGGCCTCATGTCTGGAAACCCAACAGATGATCTAGGATGTCTGATAAGCATTTAAATGCATTATATAAACTGTGAGTGAGCACAGTGAGCTCACTATAAAAAGTGAGCATTTACTAATAGGTCTTTTTGTGCAAAATTCAGCTAACTAACTCTTTCCCCATCTTACATTTTTGGTTATTTAGAGGGTCTTTCTCCATTTTAAGTTTTTGGTCTTTGAGGGAGAATCAAATTAAACACTACCCAACTAACTTACCAACCAACCTACCTGTTAAATTATCTGATAACAATTTAAGTTATATATTATATAAACAATAATAAATGAGCACTTACTAATAGGTCTTATTATGCACAATTCATATGTTTAATTCAACAATAACAACACTTAAAAAGTTCAAATCCCAACAAATAAACTCTGCCCTATATTATTTATTACTGAATATTCTGTTTTACTTGTAAATATATATCATATTATGAAAGTTAAATGTGTTGTAAAGGATCAGTCATGTCATTAATAAATTCTTTAGCTTAAAAACACGAGTGAATACCTTTGTAGCAGTGGAATCTCCATCTATAAAAAACAGAAGAAAAAGAGCTTGTTATGTGAATGATACAATAAATACCCGATCTTGTAACTGTAGCAATTTCAGCTCTGGTGCAGTAAAACACAGCGGTAAATCATCTGCAGCTCTACAGTAAAACGCCGCGGTAAAACATCTGCAGCTCTACAGTAAAACACAGCGGTAAATCATCTGCAGCTCTACAGTAAAACCCCGCGGTAAAACATTTGGAGCTCTACAGTAAAACAACGCGGTAAATCATCTGTAGCTCTACAGTAAAACACCGCGGTAAATCATCTGCAGCTCTACAGTAAAACCCCGCGGTAAAACATTTGGAGCTCTACAGTAAAACACCGCGGTAAAACATCTGCAGCTCTACAGTAAAACGCCGCGGTAAAACATCTGCAGCTCTACAGTAAAACACCGCGGTAAAACATCTGCAGCTCTACAGTAAAACACAGCGGTAAATCATCTGCAGCTCTACAGTAAAACCCAGCGGTAAAACATTTGGAGCTCTACAGTAAAACAACGCGGTAAATCATCTGTAGCTCTACAGTAAAACACCGCGGTAAATCATCTGCAGCTCTACAGTAAAACCCCGCGGTAAAACATTTGGAGCTCTACAGTAAAACACCGCGGTAAAACATCTGCAGCTCTACAGTAAAACGCCGCGGTAAAACATCTGCAGCTCTACAGTAAAACACCGCGGTAAAACATCTGCAGCTCTACAGTAAAACACAGCGGTAAATCATCTGCAGCTCTACAGTAAAACCCCGCGGTAAAACATTTGGAGCTCTACAGTAAAACAACGCGGTAAAACATCTGCAGCTCTACAGTAAAACCCCGCGGTAAAACATCTGCAGCTCTACAGTAAAACACAGCGGTAAATCATCTGCAGCTCTACAGTAAAACCCCGCGGTAAAACATCTGCAGCTCTACAGTAAAACACCGCGGTAAAACATCTGCAGCTCTACAGTAAAACACAGCGGTAAATCATCTGCAGCTCTACAGTAAAACAACGCGGTAAATCATCTGTAGCTCTACAGTAAAACACCGCGGTAAATCATCTGCAGCTCTACAGTAAAACCCCGCGGTAAAACATTTGGAGCTCTACAGTAAAACACCGCGGTAAAACATCTGCAGCTCTACAGTAAAACCCCGCGGTAAAACATCTGCAGCTCTACAGTAAAACACCGCGGTAAATCATCTGCAGCTCTACAGTAAAACCCCGCGGTAAAACATTTGGAGCTCTACAGTAAAACAACGCGGTAAATCATCTGTAGCTCTACATTAAAACACCGCGGTAAATCATCTGCAGCTCTACAGTAAAACGCCGCGGTAAAACATCTGCAGCTCTACAGTAAAACACAGCGGTAAATCATCTGCAGCTCTACAGTAAAACAACGCGGTAAATTATCTGCAGCTCTACAGTAAAACCCCGCGGTAAATCATCTGCAGCTCTACAGTAAAACCCCGCGGTAAAACATTTGGAGCTCTACAGTAAAACACCGCGGTAAATCATCTGCAGCTCTACAGTAAAACACAGCGGTAAATTATCTGCAGCTCTACAGTAAAACACCGCGGTAAAACATCTGCAGCTCTACAGTAAAACGCCGCGGTAAAACATCTGCAGCTCTACAGTAAAACACAGCGGTAAATTATCTGCAGCTCTACAGTAAAACACCGCGGTAAATCATCTGCAGCTCTACAGTAAAACACCGCGGTAAATCATCTGCAGCTCTACAGTAAAACACCGCGGTAAATCATCTGCAGCTCTACAGTAAAACACCGCGGTAAAACATCTGCAGCTCTACAGTAAAACACCGCGGTAAATCATCTGCAGCTCTACAGTAAAACACCGCGGTAAATCATCTGCAGCTCTACAGTAAAACAACGCGGTAAATTATCTGCAGCTCTACAGTAAAACCCCGCGGTAAATCATCTGCAGCTCTACAGTAAAACCCCGCGGTAAAACATTTGGAGCTCTACAGTAAAACACCGCGGTAAATCATCTGCAGCTCTACAGTAAAACACAGCGGTAAATTATCTGCAGCTCTACAGTAAAACACCGCGGTAAAACATCTGCAGCTCTACAGTAAAACGCCGCGGTAAAACATCTGCAGCTCTACAGTAAAACACAGCGGTAAATTATCTGCAGCTCTACAGTAAAACACCGCGGTAAATCATCTGCAGCTCTACAGTAAAACACCGCGGTAAATCATCTGCAGCTCTACAGTAAAACACCGCGGTAAATCATCTGCAGCTCTACAGTAAAACACCGTGGTAAATCATCTGCAGCTCTACATGTTCAGACCCGCCAGACGCTAATCAAATGATGAGAGAGCAAACATCTACTCAAGTGATTCAAGCTACACACACACATCCCTCTGAGTGCAAGGGTCATCACTGCTGTGTGTGTGTGTGTGTGTGTGTGTGTGTGTGTGTGTGTGTGTGTGTGTGTGTGCGTGCATGTGTGTGCGTGTGCGTGTGGCCTAATGGCTTTTAGCCGATAGATCTTGTGGCTTTTTAAAAGGGCCAGTATTGACGCGAAGGCCATTTGAGAAGCGGGGCAAACTGACGGGGCTTGAGCGGCTCTGAGGAGGGGTTCGCCTCCACCAACACACACACATTAACGTGAACTCACGGATTTCTGTGCATCAAACATCAGGCTGCGGTACAGCTGGGCGAAATGACAATACGACACATCTCCATTCCTCAGCTCTCCGTCCTAACCAAGAAACCACAGAAAACACAACCGATATTAATATTAATAAAACACAAATATGTCCTGTAATTACAAATGTGTTAACATGGAGTAAACAAATACACAATATCCACTGATGTTACTGCAGTTAACGGTGAAAGAATCAAACCACCTGCTATATACACATTATACAATGAAAATCACCAATTAATTCTACACTAATATGAGAAGTGAGTGGAGTGAAGTTACCGGAAGCTTCTCCCGTAAGAACCTCATATTGGGAACCCTGTAGTTGACCTGACACAGCATACTCTTCAGATCCTTGCAGGAAATCCTGCCGGAGAACACACAGAGTTTGGGAATGTGGGTCTGAACGGGCTTCACATGAGAACGCTCAGTGTCGATTCAGGATATAATCAGTAAAAACATTTATTACTCAAATTTAAAAAAATATCAAAAGTCATGACATGCATGTATGATGTACATACGATCATACGGCTGTTGTGTGTGTGCTATACACCACTGTTCAGAAGTGTGGCGTCAGGACGATTCTTTTCAAAGACATTAACACTTTTATTCAGCAACGACCCATTAAAAGTACACGTAAAAAGACAATGTTACAAAATATTTCTATTTAAAATGCTATTATTTCTGTTCATCAAAGAATCCTAAAAAGTATGTACTACGTTTTCCACAGAAATACGAAGCAGCATGACACACACGACCACCATTTCACCTGAATACGACACCTCACACACCTCGTGTGTCTTTCACTCACTTAGTGTATTTACATTCACGCACACACACACACTGAGCTTTATTTCCTGTTGCAGGATGTGTCATCTCTGAGCTCTATTTACCCAACAGGAGTGTGTATGTGTATGTATGTGTGTTAATAAGGCCAGGTAGCTCTCTGAGTCAGCCATTTCTCCCCTAAAGCGTATATCACAACATAGATAAATCGAAAGGAAGATGGGATTATAAGAATCGCTACGTCAGAGAAACATCTCAAACACACACCATCTCCCCGTCTGAGTGTGTGTGCCCCTCAACATGAGTGTGCGCTACACCGGTTCCTCTACAGAGAGAGCTACGGGCGCTCCATCACACTGACATGTAACACACCTGTCTTCCCTGTTGCGATCCACTGCGTAGAACTGCTTTCTCAGCCACCTGTATAAAAGAGGGAAACTATTAATACAACACTGTTTTTTTTTCACTTTTTGAAATTCACAGTTATTAATAGTTTTAAGTCATGTGACTGTCACAGAGACCTGGAGGGAAAGCAGTACAGGCCTGTCGATTTTCATTTCATAGGGAAAATGTCACAATTCAAGTATTAAAATCACTAAAAACTGCGGGACTTTATAAAACGCTTAAGAAACACTTATGCTGCCTTAATCTACCGAAACACCTCAATTCAGTGTACATCAAGATTCTGGATTAACTGACTTAATTTTCATTCTAAATAAAAATTGCGATTTTCCAACTAAACAAAATAACCTTTACTAGAGGTTGTGACAAAATGTGAATCGCTTGCAGTCTATTTTAAAAATATTTAATTCTTTATAAATTACAATTATGTTTTTTTTTTAATTATGAATGAACGATTCAATGACTAGCTCAAAGACTTAACTTGTTTAGAAAATAAATGAATCAGTGTTTTTGAATGAATCTCTTGAACGAATGATTCTATGACTCGCTCACTGACTTCCTTGCTTCATTACTGGATGAATCAGTTTTTGAATGAATCTCTTGAACGAATGATTCAATGGCTCACTCAATAGGCTTGTTCGACTTCATGCAGCTCTGCGCAGACCGATCGGCGGCTGACTTGAAACAGTGCATGCCGGTTAGAAATTTTGTCCGACTTGATGCAGCGCTGACTCCACGTGACTGTGACATATGCCATCAAAGTACCGCGAGAGCGATACGAGAGTAGCCGGAGGTCTCAAGAGCGGCTGCACGAGCTCTGATGATGTCACAGCTGTTCCACGATTCGTCGGATTCAACGCATGACAACGATCACGTGCGTTTCGTGTTTATTCTCACACATTTAGTTCCACTAAAGCTCACAAATCTGTTTTCTATAACAGTAAACAGTCTTTTCATGTAGTCCCGATGTTATATTGTGTCATGTTTATCAGGTTTATCAAAATAAAACTGATTAAAAAACGTTGACTCCACGTCATTGATTATAGGCTTATTTTGATGTTTATTCCAGTTCAAACAGATGCTGTATGAAGCAGTAAAGTGTTGAATGAAAATGTGTCTGAAATATCTGTTTATTTGGCAAATGTTGCATTTATTTCACTTAGGCTGTAGTAAAGCATGCAAACACCACGTGAGCCGTCAGTACGGGAACCAGAAATTGTCCGACTTCACGTCTCCATTTGCAGCTCCTCCCCGCCTGCACGCGGCTATTCTCGCCGATCGGTTGCATCCAGCCGCAGGCGATGTCGAACACACCTAATAGCGTCACTTGTTTCATTTCCGAATGAATCAGTGTTTTTGAATGAATCTCTTGACCAAATGATTCAATGACTCCCTCAAAGACTTCACTTGTTTCGCTACTGGAGGAATCAGTATTTTTGAATGAATCTCTTGAACGAATGTTTCAATGACTCGCTCAATGACTTTGAATGAATCTCTTGAACAAATGATTCAATGACTCACTCAAAAACTTCACTTGCTTCATTACTGGATGAATCTGTTTTTGAATGAATCCCTTGAACGAATAAATCAATGACTCGCTCAATGACTTCACTTGTTTCGTTACTGGATGAATCAGTGTTTTTGAATGAATCTCTTGAATAAATGATTCAATGGCTTGCTCAATGACTTCACTTGCTGTGTTACTGGATGAATCAGTGTTTTTGAATGAATCTCTTGAACGAATGATTCAATGACTCCCTCAAAGACTTCACTTGCTTAATTACTGGATGAATCAGTGTTTTTGAATGAACCCCTTGAACGAATGATTCAATGACTCGTTCAATGACTTCACTTGTTTCGTTACTGGATGAATCAGTATTTTCGAATGAATCTCTTGAAAAAATGACTCGCTCAATGACTTAACTTGTTTCATTGCTGAATGAATCAGTGTTTTTGAATGAATCTCTTGAAAAAATGATTCAATGACTTACTCAAAGACTTCACTTGCTTTATTACTGGATGAATCAGTGTTTTTGAATGAATCTCTTGAACGAATGATTCAATGACTCCCTCAAAGACTTCACTTGCTTCATTACTGGATGAATCAGTGTTTTTGAACGAATCTCTTGAATAAATGATTCAATGACTTGCTGAATGACTTCACTTGCTGTGTTACTGGATGAATCAGTGTTTTTGAAAGAATCTCTTGAACAAATGATTCAATGATTTGCTCAATGGCTTCACTTGTTTAGTAAATGGATGAATTAGGCTGCATCTGAAATCGCATCGTTCCCTGCTATATATTAAGTGAAAAACAGTATGCGTCAAAAGTAGTATGTCTGAATTTACAGAACTCATAAAAAAGGCAAAAAGTCCTCGCATGACCTTTTATCCCAGTTCTTATGTGATCAGCAAGACTTTATTCAACAGTCCTGTTCCCCATGTACATACTATATACAATAACTGGGTACTAACCCTGAATCTAACCCTAACCCATATGGTTACCTTATATTACCCAGTACTTTCTTAGGCAAGTACACTAAGTGGTTTAGTCTTCCAGGTTAGTGTTCCCAAAAGGGTGTGACGTCACTCTTTAGACTTGACATGTGAACCCAGAGCTTAATGGTTAACACCAGTCAATATCAACTGGGAGAGGGGCACGTGGAGGTCAAAGGTCACCTTTCTATCTGCAGGGGTGTGGGGGAGCGTAACGTATCCGACACCAGCCAGTTCAAACCCTTCACCCACATGACCATCTCCTCGTCTGAGGTCGCTGCGGGACACAGGCAGAGTAACACAAGCATGAGTGTGTGTGTGTGTGTAATACGCTTTCATTGCTCACTGCCAGTGGGTTTCTCTGGACGCTCACCTGCCAGACTGAGCGCTTTGAGCCGAAACTCCGTCCCGTAGAGGATGACGAAGCAGTGGGCCTGGTCGGTCCGCGCAGACGAGTCCTCCACATACCGCTCGAAGTCCCGGGACTTCTGCCCCGTACGGATCTCCTTAATCTCCCGAATATCAACTGAAGGGGACACAAGAGACACACTTCAGTCAATCATACATGTCTGATGTCTTTTACACATCCACCACAAGGGTTAAGGTGCTCGGAAACATGAGAGATGTCATCACCAATGTTTTAAATTTGTATCAACTTATCTTCGACTAGGGGTGTGAATCTTTGGCTTGAGGTTTACTACATACACTACCGTTTAACATGTTGGTGTGTGAAAGATATTTTTGATCTGTTTCTCACCAAAGCTACATTTATTTGATCAAAACTGAGGTAAAAATTACAGTAATGTAGTGAAACATTTAAAATAACTGTTTTCTATGTGAATAAATGTTCAAATGTGAGACTTTTGTAGCATTATAAATGTCTGCTTTGGATCAATTTAATGCCTTGCTGAATAAAACCATTTAATTCTTTCACACACACACGACACTTTTTAACAGTAGTGCTGTTCAGTAATTTCATCAACAATTTAACCACAGTTAGATTCAGTATTTCTGTATTGGAAAAGGATATTTAATCCCTAATGCATTAATGCAAACAAAGAAAAGTTATTTCAGGCCACTTACTGCAAAAACAAAAAAAGGAACCACATTACCTACATAAATATACACGCTATTGGAAACACGACACACAGCCCAATGCTAACAGTGTGAGGACACATGACATGAGTGTTACACGAGCAGCTTAAAGGGTACATATCATGCTTTTAAATCATTCATTTTTACATATAAATCATACTGTTGTGGTCTATATAAAACATAACTGCAATGCTTAGGTCTGAATTCCTCATTATTATAGCTCCACAGGCCCCTTTTCTGATGTGCGTCTTTGAGCGACCCGTTTCAAAGCGGCCCCTTTAAATAAAAAGGAGATGTGTCATACTCCGCCCGCTCTCCAGGTCGATGAGTTCACAGTCGGTTCAACTCCCCCGTTCGGCCATTATTGTAGTTTGATTAGAGATATACGATTATATACGATGCCTTCAAAGAACATTTTTATTCACACGTTAATAAAATGTCAACAATAGAAGACTTGGCCATCAAGCCTTACATATTCCAGCCAGAGCGAGCGAGTTGATAAAGACGACAACGAACCTGCAGAACAACGTCTTCATATGGATGTATTGGTATGGGAGTTAACTTAACTGTTTTGTGTTATTAGTGAAAGTCGACTATTTCTCTTGTTAAAACAAGCACACTGACAAGATAAATGACTACGGTCTAATCCTACCACAAAAAAATCTGTATTGACAATATGATACGTTTAGAAAAGCATCAGAAAACAACGCAGCTAAATGACCATTGATGAAACTCAAGAACAATAATACTGCAGACGTGTAACGTTACTTCAAAACAAAAACAAAGAAAGACAAAGGTACTGCTAAACCATGACCACCATGTGTTTTAAGAAAGTAAAGTACTTTATTTTTATTAACGATATTTACAGCTTATGGAAATGCTCTGTTCGTCGTCTCCAAAGATAGAAGGAATTGACCTCTGATTCAGACGAAGTCAATCGGCAAACCCTTCTTTATACTGGCGGAGGTTGTTGAAGTGGAAATCCTTGAAGTGCTTCAGGACACTACATCCAACAACAGAACATTTTGACTTGCCCTCTCGTAACTTCTGCATCATTGAGCTCGAACTACAAAATCGGAGCGAGAAATAATAATGGCGGATTGCTCGAAGTGTTGGACCGGTAGTCAATGTCCTTATTTGTCAGTTCAGCTGCAAATACGGTGACGTTATAGTTCAAAAAACGTCATAGAAAACAGAAAAATATGAACAGGTTGAAAAATACGACCAAAACAGAATATAAAGATATAAACGAAGCACCTGAAGAGAATAATTTCATCTTTTCTGTACTTATAAACACTCCAAATATACAACAAAATGCATTTAAGGGCTAAAAAAGTGGATTTTGCATGATATGTCCGCTTTAACATGAGACGATGATGGCGTGAGGTGCGATGAAGGAGGGTTCTGAAACGCTTTCTCAAGAAAATCTATTAATGTTTATGACATGTCTGCCTATACCTAATATAAACAGTGATAAATGACAAATACAAGATTATACTTATTTCAAAATGGTCATCCACACACACAGTAGCGTGTACACTGCTAGCCCAGAACTGAATATACAAAATATCCAGAATAAATGTGAAAAAACAGATTGTAATCCAATTTAACCATGAAAAAAAAATAAATAATAAAAATAAAATATATATATAAATATAGCTGCAAGCAGAGATTACGGGCCCAAGCCTGGTGGCCCTGCCATCCTGGTGGCTTATTAGGGTTATTGTGCATAACGTGCATAAAACACAAGCCCGCTCTGACTGTCGAAAAGAAGTGTGCTGTAGAGCTTGCATTGGTGTGGGCTCTGCAAAAGTGCGCATTGAGGGCACATATCAACCACAAAGTATGCATGAGAAACCTTCTGAAACCTAAAATGAAAAATGAGACACCCTACAGACGGTCTCATGGATTGAACAGACACATGAAATAAGTACACAAGACTGAAAATTCATATGAAGTGTGCCATTTGGGACAGTGCCAATGATCGTGAACCACAATAGGCATTTATATGAATTTTGCCCGGCCATCGTTTCCCATGTGTGTTTTCTGTATTTGATTGGTGACTACTTTCTGAATGAAATGATTTTTGAAATGATTCTGAAAGGTAAACAGATATATTGATCTGAAATATAGCACATACATTTTTAAATCATTTAGGTTCAATTACCAAACAAAACATACAATTTAAAGCAAACAATACATTTAAAAGATATGGGTTATAAAATAATAATAATAATGTAGGGATGCAGATGGTTTCATATAGTTTCTGACGCATGCCTTTGTCTTGAATAAAATAAATATTGTCCACAAGTCCATAAGCCAAATCCATTTATTGTCCATTTGGCATTGCGAACAAAAAATAAAACAAAAATAAATACTAAATCAAAACATCCGATTCAAAACATACTGTTAGGCATGAGCACAGTCTCGCACAATCCAACTCTCAACATAGCACAGTCGAAAAGTGTGTTGACATCAGCACACCTGTAACTCATCATTATCACCTCATTACAGGGTTAGTTCACCCAAAAATGAAAATTCTGTCAGTATTTACTCACCCTCATGTTGTTCCAAACCAGTAAGACCTTCGTTCATCTTCGGAACACAAATTAAGATATTTAAGATATTAAGATCGCTCCTGCATACAGTCCATAGGCTTCTTGAGGGACTGGCTCTTGCTGTCCCCGAAAAGTCATTAAAGACATCGTTAAAATAGTCCAAGTGACCACAGGGGCTCAATCTTAAGTTTATCAAACGACGAGAACACTTTCGTGCGCAAAAAAACAACAAAAATAACGACTTTATTTCAACTATTCGTTTATTTCTCCCTCTGCGCGAGTCTGGTTACTAGTTTAATAGCGTAAGCTTCTGCTATTGTACGTCACACGCATCACACACATGACCAGCGGCGGCCAATAGTGAGCCTACTTGTGACGTAGCTTTACGCTATCACACTACGTTAACTGACTACAGGCTACATAGAGAAGGAAGTGAATAGTTGAAAAAAGTCGTTATTTTTGTTTGTTTTTGCGCACGAAAGTGTTCTCGTCGTTTGATAAACTTAAGATTGAGCCCCTGTAGTCACTTGGACTATTTTAACGATGTCTTTAATGACTTTTCGAGGCCATCAAGTGTCATTCCCTCAAGAAGCCTATGGACTGTATGCAGGAGCGATCTTAATATCTTAAATATCTTAATTTGTGTTGCAAAGATGAACGAAGGTCTTACGGGGTTGAACAACATGAAGGTGAGTAAATACTGACAGAATTTTCATTTTTGGGTGAACTAACCCTTTAAATATACTCAAAATACTCATACACCCTCTAGTGTCACAAACAAAAAATGGCTCCAACATACCGGCCCCTGAACTGTTAATGATATAGGCCATAAATAATTCAGGATCATAATTAAACAAACCATTTGTCACTTTATCAAACAAACCTTTATCACATTTCTAAAAAAAGACAAAGTTTTGTTACTGGTCTTACTATTGTGTTTGTTCTGGTTTGAACTTGTACAGATCTAACTAAACCCCTTTATCTGGGAAAGTCTCCAGTACTCAGAAGAGTCCAAGAATTGCGTGGAGTGAGTACAATATCACCCGGCATAAGATTGCGTCCCTCTTTTGTCCATTTTTGCCTTTCCTATAGCAAAGGCAAGTACTCTTTAATCCATCTTTTACAAAGAAGATCTGAAAGGTATAGTACTTGTTTCCATCTCTTTTTTTCTCAAAAAGACCACCAGGGGCCTCATTTATAAACGTTGCGTATGCACAAAAGAAGGCGTACGGCGCTCTCTACGCAATAATTGGTATTTAAATGTGCGGTCCTTCGCGCAAGCTCTGACCCCGGCGTACGCACAAAAACGGGTGAAATGAGAAGTGGCGACTCCGTCGGCAGATGGAAAAAACATGTGAAAGTGTGTGAAACTGTAAAAGAAATGGCAATACTGGCTCTCATAAATAACATGAAGACTTCACAAAAGCAAGTCTTACAATTAACAGCCTATACAAACACCCGTTTTATCGATCTGCAGAGTTAAACAAACAAAATCAAACGATGCCATGATGCCTTCCCAAAGCGTAATGACGTAATGCGTAATGCAACCTTTTGCCACTCAAGTGGCTTTTTTGACATTAAAGCCCACACTGGGCCCTCCAAACATTTTACTCCTTTTTTCCACCTCGCCAATGATAATTTATATTTTACATTAAGTGAAGTTACGTTTCTTGATTTTCCTCTCTGTGTTTGCCATGATTTTGCAATCGATGAATATTAAAGGGATACTCCACTTTTTTGGGGAAATAGGCTCATTTTACCACTCCCTCAGAGTTAAACAGTTGAGTTTCACCGTTTTCGAATCCATTCAGCCGATTTTCTGATATTTAGGCCGTGTGTCCACCAGGGCCGTGCAGAGACCTCTGTAGGGGCAGGTGCTCAAAGTATAAAATGGGGCACATGGAAAACAAGGCTTTATAGGGCTGTGCTCAAAATATCAATACAGTAATATATCAATACAGATGATTCTGCATCGATACAGCAGCAAATGCATTGATGGAGTTTTGAAAAAGAACCAGAACAGAAAAGACAAATTTAAAGTTTAAAATTAAAAAAAATAATTGATGTGCTCTATATATAGGCCTAACTCTGGGATTAGAAACTGAAGCATCTTAAGTTGTCCCAACCTGATGGCTTTTTCTTCTCAGTTATACAGAATAATAAAGAACAGCTGTTATAGTGAACTGTATAGGACAAAATCAACCTGGCCCATGTTTCGTGCAGTAGAGTATAGTTTTATTTAATGGCATATCAGCATCTGTGGCTATTTTCATGGCAAAAACTGATTTACAAAAATACAAGAGTTACATTTTATACAATGAAAATAAAAACAAAGCAAACAGAAACAGCAATTAATACTTTACAAGATTTTAAACATTAATGTGATGCCTGCTCTGGTAATTCTTACTCAAGTCATTAAGTGAGTTTTGCTGCCTTTGCTGTTGATGTTGTTACTGCTGCTGCTGATGATGATGATGTTGGAGTTGATCTGAGACTGTAGACATTAAAATTAAAAGAGATATAGGATTTGGCTGATTAAACCATTTTTATGTGACCATGACAAGATGTAAAGATTGCTGACAGTGTTTGGAACTGGCTACTAGTCCACTGACCTGCTAAAGCTACAGATTCTGCCC